AGTGCAATTGACAGTGATAAGAAAGTTAGCGTTGCAAAGATTCAAGAGTCGCAGGAATGATACAAATCATACGTGTCATGATCCAACGCGAATGGCGAAACAAAATTGCGTTGGCACTTATATTTCATATCCCAATGTCTTGCGCGGCGTAAGATTGTATTTATGACGCGCACAAAATTTACAGCTTTTTGCACTTAAAAAAATTTTTTTCCTATCATGATCAAAAAAAAAGTTATGAACAATTTTATACACCTTTTTTGGCTCATATTTTTGCGATTTTTCCCAACTTTTTTTGCTCTGACACGTACCATTTTATACAGTTTTCTTCAATTTTTATCAAACCTTCACTATTCATTTATTTAAACATTTTATTTCATGTTTTACATTCCACTTTTGCCGAAACTTTCATAAGTGTTTCCAAAAACTTATTTTGCTATCGCAAACCCCGAATTTTGCCAATTGTACGCGGAAAAGGTCCCTACTCCTTCTGGCGCGGTGTCGTCGATCGTTGCTCTGCTTCGCAGAGCAACGATCTCGATGGGTCGACATCGTCAATCAGGTTTGTTGGCATATCAATAATGATTGGCAACAACAAACAAAATGCATTGAAACTAGCCGTTCAAAAATATTAAAATTAGAATATTATTGTTTAATTTTTGTCTAATTTTTAATAATATAATAATAGAAATAAAGTTTTCCCTTTTGAGCGCAAATTAATTTCATATTTTGATATACTTTGATACCATTTCATGAGCAAATTGCAACTGTTCACGAACTGTTCACGAACTGTTCACGAACTGTTCACGAACTGTTCACGAACTGTTCACGAACTGTTCACGAACTGTTCACGAACTGTTCACGAAAAATAACTTGCTACAATGTAATGAGCATTTTAATAACAATAAATAGTAGAAATCAAAAACTTTAATTTCCAACAGAAATTTTTTAGAAACACACCTAACAAATATTACCCTGCTAACAAGCTATTAAAAACATTAATAGTTTTGTATAAAATTTAAGATCTAAACAATTACTACCATTCAAAATATTAATAAAAAAACGTCTCTTGACGTTTCAAAATGAAACTAAGGTGGAAATGCAGTTATAACAGGACACTGGTTCTCAATGATTACTGAAAGAAACTATATCAAAATGTAAGTTCTACACACTTCCTAAATGCTTTTCTGTGAACTAAAGAGATCATATATCATACAACCCTGATATTACTACAATATCTGAATTAAAGATGTTTCTTATCAAGTAAATATAGTCCAATATCATTTTACTACACCTCAATATGTTTGTTCGTTCATACTTGTACTATAAAATGTAACATCCAAAGGAATACGATTATGACAAAAGTTATTTTAAGATGAGACTATAATTTTAGGTATGCCGTGCAAATTTTCGACTTTTTATACCGTGGTGTGAAAATCATTGTTGTATCTTAAAACACCTGTTGACCATATTAAAGTATATCAAAGTGTATTAAAGTGTATCAAAGTATATCCCTGTACCCTGCTCCTCAATCGGGAAAAACCTATATTTTAATATATTTTAATATACTTTAATATACCCAAAATTAGTCTAGCTATATTCTTCTTTTAGATTTGCAAGATAAGATTTGGACTAGTACATGAATTTACATCCAGTTTGGTCAAAAAATGGCTGAGATATGAGCTTTAAACCATATATGCCCACATTTGGGCTTACGCACCAAATTTGAAAGTGTGATTTTTGGCTTCACAGATATAAAAATCACATTTTCTACCATAACTTTAAAAGGAAGCATTTGTGGATGTTTTGTTATTCTCAGTTTGACAACGCTTGGGGGTCAATCCCCCCAAGATTTTTTCAAAAAAACAAATTTTCTTTGTAGTTTACTACAGATAATATACTATACCTTACAAGATATATTTATGGCGGCCTAATTTGCGACGACCGAAATTTTGGCGGTCCGAAAATATGGCGAAATTGAACAAAAACTGTCAAATTTCGGACGTCACAGAAAATAAGGGTATTTTTCATCATTTTTTGTGACAGTAAGCAGTAAGGAAATTTCTGAAACTCGGTAAAATCATGTTCAAACTTAGTCTGTATTAAGACTGTAAGACTTTCATGTTAGCACATACATGTATTTTAATGCAAATTTAAACTGTATTGCTTGACATTCAATTCGTCATTGGTGTGGTGATAATTTGTCCCAAGATGCCAGAATTTATTTATTTATTTTACTTGATATTACTTTTTAGAAACAAAATAAAGCAGTGAAGGCACAGTCATTGAAATAAGCTAAAAGATAATGCGACGGACAGGAGGTGACCGGGAATCCCGGTACCGGGAATCCCGGTACCAGGATTGGCAATTTTGAGCTATCCCGGTCCCGGTCCCGGTCCCGGTCAACCGGGTCAAATCACATTTTTCATCCCGGTCGCGGTCCCGGTCAAATGCTGATTTATGATCCCGGTCCCGGTCCCGGTCCCGGTTAATTCAGGATTCTTGGTCCCGGTCCCGGTCAATCACTCAAATTTGCCGGGATTTTGACCGGGATCTTTTACATAATTTCATTCACTGTGATTTTAAGTTTTTACTTTCATTCATTGTGAATTTCATCTTTAAACAACTTCTGAGCCAAATAAAACAATGTTTAAAATTGCTAAACAAGTTTAGGTAACTAATATCGTTACATAACTCATAAGTGCAAACTAACATCAAGTTTTCAACTTGGGCCGGGCTACGCCCAATTGTCAATTGGAATTGGAGAATGAAACTGTTGAATAATTTGAGGGATCATTGATTGAGGAATGAGGAATGAGGGTGAACTCGAGTAATCAGTACATGAACATTATTGGTGTAGTACATTAGGCTCATGCCCCATATTGACGGTTTTAAAAAAAGTTTTTTCTAATTTAATATTCTAGTTATTACTTATTCCAATTGTTCAATTATAATGTAAATGAAAGTTGCAGCTTTCAATATGAGAGTACCAGTTTTGGTCCCGGTCATCCCGGTCATCCCGGTAAAATTGGATTGTTGGTCCCGGTCCCGGTCCCGGTCAAGTCACATTTTGTATCCCGGTCCCGGTCCCGGTCCCGGTCAGGCCTGGTACAATCATGTCCCGGTCACCTCCTGGCGACGGATTCTATTACGAAGACCGAAATTTTGGCAGTCCGAAAATATGGCGAAATTTTCGGAAAACCGCCACATTTCGTACGTTATAAATATGTCTTGTAAGGTAGTTAAGATCATTGGACAAAACTGCTCAGATCACTGATGTCTGATTTTATAAACTGTGGTTGTGTGATACACTACCTAATACAGTAAAACCCTGAATTACCGCGCCCTGATTTACCGTGGCCCAGTGGCGTAACGTTGCCTGTTGGCGCCCCCCCCTGCCGAAAAAGCACCCCCCTGTTGGCGCCCCCTCCCCTTTTGGTGCCCCTCCCTAAAATTGAACAAATTAGGTGATTTTAGAAGATACGCCTGTAAAATCTCTAAAAAAGTGTGTATCTAGAGCAAAACGTGCAGTTTTGCTAGTACTTTAGTTAAGTTTTCGAAATTGTCCCACATTCAATGACGATTTGGTGCCCCCTAAGACGGCCCCCCCCCCCCCCCCCCCCGCACAGCAGGGTCAGAGGGGCCCTTTGTTACGCCACTGCCGTGGCCATTATCTTTCCCCAAATACGACTTAACATACATAATGTTAACAACCAAAACCCCGATTTACTGCAAACCCTGATATACCGCGGCTTTTCTATTTCTCCCAAACACTGCAGTAAATCTGGGTTTTACTGTATAGTAATATATGAACAGTGCTCAAAATAAATAGTGATCGATATGTTTTATTTGTTCTGGGAGATCGTCCAACAGCAAGATACATGATGATAAGTGCGATATGGTTTCTAATTACTAAAAACTCTTAATTTAATAACTCAAAAAGTCAAAATTTCTCAGTTCTCTGTTTATTTTTATTTAATAGCCTGTTTTCTGAATATTTTGAATGCTGAAAGTTATAATATACGTAGTACCATATTTCTTTTCTAACTACTATTTATCTGCAACCTTGTGTTTACACCTACTAACGTAATAATATACCTACTTACTAGTTACTTCTATCCAGGTGAGTGTAAGCTATGAATAAGTTTTAAAGATGGTTGAAGAGTATCAAATAGCTTACAAATCATTCAAGCAGAGACGATCTCTGACTGCTAGAAAGGCAGAAGTCTACAACATCAAAAGTAAGTTTCCAGACAAAGTCCCTGTTATTGTTGAACGGTACTCCAAAGAAAAAATACTGCCCAGACTTTCTAAAACGAAGTTTTTAGTTCCTGGAGAATTAGCTTTGCGACAGTTTCAGCTAATTCTTAGAGCCCGAATGTCATTGGACAAAAGCAGCACAATGTATTTACTTGTTGGTGGAAAGTCCATACTGGCTCACTCAATGATCATGAATGAGGTTTATCTTGACTATCATGATGAAGATGGCTTCCTGTACCTCACGTATGCTTCACAAGAAGTGTTTGGGTAATAAATGGCTATGAACTCCTCGTTTTCTTTCTGGCAGCTTTTGATTCTATAGCTTTTTTCTGAGATTTTCCAGCTTTTACGTTTTATAAAAAAAATTTACGTTTTATGAACATTTTTGAAATCATTTTTAAATTAGCATTTTATAGATTTATATAATGCTTTTCACAGACAATTTATAAGCAGTCAATTCAGATTGATTTATAGCATGAATTACTGAATATAATTCTAATTGTACTTTGATAACTAAGAAACATTTTATTCCAAGTTTTACATTACTACAAAGAGTACCAGTTTGACTGATTATGATGTGTCTCACTATGAATGAAGTAAATATAGAAAAGTTTTGTTGTACTTTTAAGATCTCAATCAAATGAATTCTTTGTGAATCTCCCAGATTCATTGAACATCTAGTTACTTAACTAATTGCATGCTGAATATGCTGATTTTCCTTTCCGTCTTAATGATCTCTGTTCAGCATAGTAGGGCAAGCCTTAGATACCTCCAAAAGACCAGATATGGTTGATAAACTTGGTGAGTAGTTTTCTATTGATTAGGAAGCAGGGAGTTCAATATATATTTTGAGAGCTTATGCATGTATTTGATGTAAGCACAAGGTAAAAATTTCAATCATGTTTGTGAAAACTCTTGCCTTTTCCAATTTCAGATTTTTAACTTCTTACATTTCAGTCGACTCAGAGGCTAATGCGCGGCGTGTAGCAAATGTTGAGAACTGTTTTGGAGGGGAGGTAAGAACGTTATATTTATAAGAACGTTATATTGGGCCCCCCTATATTTTTTACGGTATCATAATCATTTTTTGGTGGTTAAACTTCGTAAGTTGATCAAATAACTTTCTCTTTACTGCACTACCTAACAATACTGATCATTAGTAAAGTAAGTACTTGTGGTACTCTACCAGTTCTCCACTATTGATAATCTGTAATTACAGGTACTAGCTGCACCAAACCGGGTTCTTGTGGGTGAAGGTGTTTTACAAAAACAATGTAGGAAGCAACTTAAACCACGACAGGTCAGTAAGACAACTCTTTTTAGGATTGATGCTGATTAGTTAATCGCTGTCACGTGGCTACTGGCTAAGGACTGTTTCCTTGAACTACATATTGAGCAATCAGTTGTACAAATTGTGATATTGCTTAATTCAGTACTACTGAATTAGTTTCTTTAGTTAACATCTCAAAAAACATTTGCTTCAAAAGACAATATTACTCGCTTGCCGTTTTATTGTCCCACTTCAATCCAGTTAACCACTAACAATGCAATATGACAAATTGACCTGTGTTCAACAAGTTAATCACCAATTAGTTTTTAGCAAAAAACTGTGCAGCTTGCCAAGCAACACAAATTACACTCAATTTATATAATATTATTACTAATTGAATGACGCAATCTCATGGCCATTTAAAGCCGCTTGAACACTTTTTATAATAGAACCATTAACTAATTACACACAGTAATCGATATTTCTTTACATACGTCTCTCACAACTGATATTTATTGCAATGAAAACTCAGAGGTGATAAGTGATAAATCTAGTGGCCAATACTAATAAACTAAAGATTTGACAAACATCAGATATGGAAATACATTTGCAGAAGAAGAAGTGATCTTATAAAATGTATAAGTGCAGGAATGTGATTTAGATTGCGTATGATAAGATAAAATAGAAAAGTGGTGCTTTGTACAATACATAATAAGTATTGTATTCTATCGCAGATTTGGTTGGCAGATCGTATTACCTTACCACGTATTACATCGGTACTAGGCTTTTTAACGTGATTTTCTAGCTTATATCATACACTACACAGGCTTTAACACAGTTGTTGTTGAAAAGCTGGATTCACGAGACTGAATAACTTCACACCGTAAAATTACTGCAAATGTCACACGAAAATATAAAAAACCATTATGAACTATATTCTTAGTTTGATATATGATTTCCCGCTAAATTAATTCTTTCTTTCAGTTTTTTCTCTTCAATGACGTTATTGTATACGGAACAATAATCATTCATCGAAAAAAGGTGAGTTACAACTTGTAATGTAGAGTGATTTGATTTTATTGTACAGCCATTTGCAGCATCATTCATCAAGTTTCACAGTAAATACTCATACTACATACCTTCTTATTTCAATACTATTACAAGAATGGCAAATGTTAACTTGATGTTTAATTCGCATACCGTTATAATTAGTGAATATTCACACATAAATCTCGATCCCACTTGTCTATAACCTGTTAAAAACACAAAAAGTACACTCAAAGTGAAGCACTTTCTACATGTTGATAGAACATACCGTGTAACACATCTCAGCCGTTATGCTGGAAGAATGTTCAGTATACCACAATATAACACAATATGAAATGAATGAAATGAGGTATTTATATCCCGCTCATATGATTAACCAACAACACAAGGAAGGTGGTTAACCATGCCAGAGCGGCTGACTGGTATGTGAGTGATGTGAGCAAATGTGTAAAAAGTATAACTCATTATAAATTAAAACATCTTTTATCGTAAACCACACTATACTAGGTAGAAGCAGAAACCATACAGTACATTGCATGTAGGTATAATGAAGGTTAGTACAGTGACATAATCAACCAAAATGAATTATGAAACAGATCCTAGAAAGGTAAAGATCAAGACATAAAATGAAGTTCGGCAAAGTGAAGACAAATGGAAAGAAAAAACATCCAAACTGATTATATAAATGGTTCTTTAACATTCACTTGAAACAGATGGTGTCATAATACATCTCAACCTCAGTGGAAGAGAGTTCCATGCATGGCTTGAGAAACGTCTGTCACCCGGTTTCTTCGACCTGGTCACAGTGTTTGAAAGTTCTGTATCCAATACATCCACATCCAGTATGCTTTGAGGTAACCAGGTGCAGAACCGTGAACTGATTTATGGGTTAATAGACAAACTTTAAAGAAGATTCGGTGGTCTATTATAGGGAGTATGTGGGACTTCTTATAGAAAGATAAAAGGTAACCATGTCCGTAGTTCTGTCTTCTATGTTGTAGATGAAACGAACTGCCCCATTAAGGATGGATATAAGTTTGTTTAATCTGGTCTTGGGTAGATTCATGTACAGAGAATTACAGTAATTATCTAACTTAGATATAACCAGTTGCTTCACCAACATCAATTTAATGCCTTCATCCAAGTAACGATCAATAGTTCTTAGGTTCATCATTGTCCAGCTACATTTCCTTTTCACACTATTGATCTGTCTAGTTCCATATTTAAAGTTTCATCAAATTTAACACATTATAACACATTATAACACATTATAACACAGTATATATAACACATTATAACACATTTAACTCATTATAACACAATATAGTTCACAATATAACACACTGCCATTACAGTACAACAACATGCACCTTCTACCTCTGGACGAAGTTAGGATAGTAGCTCTGGATGACATCGGACCAGGTTAGTAACCTAGTTAGTTACCTGGTTAGTAAGGTCCTAACCTGGCAGGTTACTTAACATTCATATTTTACCATTTCATGGGCCTATTACAATCAGGTTTAGCGCTTATGACTATTTATGGGCATTGGGCACAGCGTTATTTTTCATAGACATAACTTAGTAATTTTTGTTGTTGAATTTCGCTGTAGTTGATGAAAGAACTCAAAACGCTTAATTTTTCGCGGTCGAGATCTGGAATCCCAAAAAAGTCATTTTGATAATAACAATTTGTTTTTTTCACGTTCAAGTTATATCCAGAAATGCTTGTTGAAATAATTTTTCGAAACCATTTCCAACCACAATAAGTCCTGTCCGGTAATTTGTGGCAGGTTTAGTCAAAAGCTCGTTTGTTTTGATTTTAAAGTTTTAAGTTCTGTTTCATCCTGGATTATTCCCATTTTTATATTTTACTTACAGTTGATAAATGAGAGTACTCATTTGCTATTCAATGTAATGTGACCTTCCATTTCTTTATTGAAACTTTTAAAGAACGTTTAGTAAGTCTACGTAAATGAAAGTCATACTCTCATACTCTGCTGCAAATCTTAAATTGAGCAGCTCTAGGAAAACTGTACCATGTGTCTTGTGTGACACCTTATTGTATGAAACACTACTATTTGTATAAAAACATGGACTGAGAAGTTAATGAAATAAGATACAGACTACAGAGTTGTAACTGTAATTTGGTACTAATATTACTTTAGTACATAATAATATTACAATAATATTATTTTAGTACGTCATACTCTCTTGTGACGAAACATTTGAGTTTATTATCTGCATTTTATAGAAGTAGAACATAATCTGAATAAACATTATTATTTGTAGTTTTAACATAAGGTTGGACCTTAGTTTGGAAGTTAACCACAAAAACCAAAATGATTGAAAATAACATTATTTTTGCACCCAATACCCACAATCTTCACCTACACTCAAAACTAAAGCCCCCCTGTCCTCAGAACGACAGAATGGGTGGCAGATAATATCTCCTCGCAAGTCCTTCAACGTGTACGCGGCAAACTCTAGCGAGAAAAGCGAGTGGATACAGCACTTGAATACGTGTATTGAGGGTTGTCAGCGGAAAAGTAAGTGCTTTACTTGGAATTGTTGGAATTGTTGGAATTGTTGAAATTGTTGGAATTGTTGGAATTGTTGGAATTGTTGGAATTGTTGAAATAGATAAGGATGAATTTAGGGGGCTGAGTATCATTGATGGTATCTATATCACGTGTTAAGATATTGAATAATATGACGATCTGTTTGTTTGAACTTTTATACATTTCCTGAGCTGCATGCATTGTGTATCTCAAATATTCCAAATATGTAGTACTATCTACCCTACCTAGGTGCGAAGAAGATCACCACAGAGTTAGCTCCAGCCTGGATACCAGACGACGCAGCTACACACTGTATGATCTGTGCTAAAGTAAAGTTTTCTCCTATTGCCAGAAAGGTATGTGTTAGAGTTATCATTTTGCAAAAAAAGTAAATATTTTAGATTCTTTTATGAACTTTCCAATGGGTAACAATGTAAAACTCGCCCCCACCTCAGCACCACTGTAGGAGATGTGGGAAAATAGTTTGCAATAACTGTTCCACCAAACGACTTTTGTTGGCATCCCAAAGTTCGGAACCTGTGCGGGTTTGTGACCCCTGTTTTGCGGAGGCCAGCGCTAAAAGGATCAGTGTTGGTGATGTAAAACCGGACTCCAGTGGCGATGAAGAAGACAGTGGCGATGATAGTAACGCAAACAGACAGGTAATGTAGAGTTGTAATATACGTGGGTAAAGTTATTGATTAACGTTTAATAATCGTGGTCGGATCACAGAGAGCTTCACAAGATGTGTAAAGTGTGTGCAATGGCAGCATTTGTTTACATCTTACAGAGCAACATAATAATACTCTTTAGAGTTTTATCAGTGTGTTTCGTGTGAATGTGCATTCCTACCATTATTTACACGGTCGGTGTCATGGCCTTGTTAGAGTTATGGTTCAAATCATTCTTGCCCTGACGGCCAGGATTCTAACTTAAGTTTGCAGCAACAATGTGATTAGAAACAAGCCGGCCAGCAAACATACCTTTAAAAGTGGGTTACATGAGGGCACCATATTGCAAATAGTTGGAGTTAAATACTTTACCTGGCCCGTTTGACCAGCCTTCATGCAGCTGCTAAATTAAACAGGTTTAACCTTTCTGAAGGTAGGATTAAATTGGAGGTTCTCAACCATATCCAGAGTCACGTAGTTTTTTAATAGACAGGTTAACTAAACACTGCTCTGCAATAAAGAAGTGACATTGTTAAAGGCAGGTGTTATTAAAGGTATAAACGTCAACACCAACTGGATAGGTATGGGTATACTGGGTGAAGCTTGAAACTAGCTGGTCTTAGAGCCGGAAATGTATCCACACAGCTCCGGGGGTTATCATTCTGGTTTCTAATTACTCTTATCATGAAATGTTACACAGTGGGCAGTAATTGATGAGATAAAAAACATGATAGTATGTTATCTGCCGCTAATTGTGGGGTGTCATGAATCGCTAGTTCAATATTATAATTTTCCGTGCATGATGTTGGAGAAGCCTGGACAAATAGTTTTACATTTTAACTTTTTAAAAGAGAAGATAGATTGTGAATATCCTTTTAACTTCAGGAACAGGAGCCAGCCCAATTTTTCTCCTGATGTCCGAGAAGAAGACAAGATAAGGATATCAAACAGTTGTTGTGAAGCAGCTCCCTAAAAAATGTGACATATGGTGAACTGGTGTGGATGTGCATGTTGTACAGCAGGGTGTCAGAATTATTGGCGTGTTTGAAATTTTATGTGTATTTTATGATGAAATCAATATTTTTCGACGGGTCATAACTTTACTTCTGAATATCGAAATTACAAAATTCAAAAACTGGTCTGTAGACAATCGTCTGAACTTTTTCAGAATTTCAAAATTTTGTGTTGATGTACCTCAAAACCCATAATTTAGGCCGTTTTTTAAAGGGTCGATTCCATACTTGGTTAGATTTACGAAGGAGTAAGGGATTTATGTGTATTTTTTTTTGGTGAATTTTTTCTGAAATTATTCTTTAGACTAAAGTGCACAGCTCTTCAGGCGATAGCGAAACATATCGAAAACTATAGATTTTATAAAAGCTCTCTTTCTCCTCTAACTGACCCAATAAAATATAGTCAGGCGGACTCATCCCGGAATTCAGGGGAAGCAGCCGAAGGCTTCAAGTCCAATAATCCAAATTTTTCTCTTTCGTCGTGATTATCAACGAAATTTAACTTCTTTCGGACTTCGTTTTTAGACTGAACTGTAGTATAAAGGATTATCTCTCGAATGATCAAGACTCCATAGGAAACTGACCCTCAGAAGTCAAGTAATGATCGTTTCTAAAAGCTTGGGTAAGCTAAAATTTCACGCAGAATTGTCTACGCGCCAATAATTATGACACCCTGCTGTATTATTAGATTATTTTTGGAGAGCACATTGTTGAAAATGTTTTGATTTGTTGATATATGCATATCTTAAATGGTCATTATGTCGACTGCTATTGTATGACTTAACTGTACTTTTTTTGAATGTTTTTTAAAATACGGAACGAATTTCAGCCTTCAGATTCATGTTATAGTTATGTTGTGTATTTTTTAATTGCTCGCTTTTTCGACCAAATTTTAGATACAATTCACAAGAGGAGTCTTTTTGTAACTTTACGGAGTTTTTCACAGGGAATATTCATAAGTATTTTGTAGAATTTGTACAAGTAAAGGGAGATTTCACTGATGAAGTTAATAATTTCCCCTATCACAGAAAGACTAAAACATTTCATGATTCTAAGTACGAATTGATTAAACTATACGTGAAAAAGTTATTTTCGTATGAAAAGTAAGAGAAATTTTGCATAATCTGAACCAATTGACCTGATTCTGTCACATTTAGTCCTTCGTCCCTATTCAGTACCTTATCCCTACCAATGTTACTTCATGTGTGAACACTCCTGATGAAGGATTTATTTTTACATTGATCATAAACTGTTGTGATTTTTAACGTTTGTTCTAATAGGAATCTTTAAAACGATTTATTTCACTTAAAATTTCTTGTTTCTATACGTTTTGTTAGACTCAGAGAAAATGACCAATAGTCGCGAGGTTATCACGCCAAGTGACAGAAATAGCCCTACTTTCAAACTAAAAAGGGTCTACACAAGCTTTATTATGGAAGGCGCTATAATTTTGACTTTGAGTCATTTGCGCATAAAAGACGCGCACTGATATGCGCGCAAATTAAATCGGGCGACGTTCTGATCCAGCCCTAGCTATCGCCATTCATCGCTCGTCCGTCAGTCGGTAGAGAATGTGAGAATGTAATCGCAATTTGCAGATCACTAAACATAACCACACATTGCTGAAATGTGTCAAAACGATCGTTTTCGGTGTATCGTAGACATTATTTTAAGATAATAATCAAAATTCAAATAAAGTAAAGTAAAGTAAAATTTATGACATCACATCATCACCAGGGGTGTAGGAATGATTTTCTTCATGGGGGGGGGGGGGGGGGGGGGGGGGCCAAATTCTAAATATTTGTTGGCGCTTCGCGCCACAGCCTAAATTGTTTGGCGCTTCGCGCCAAAGCTTGAATTTCGAGGGTAAGGACAAAAGGAAATTGCAGCATGTGCGGTATCGCGATTTTTCACGTTTGCCGCGACAAGTCGCAATTTTTCAGATCCTGGCCTCACGACAAATCGCGATTTTTGCAGTTCTCCGCGTCAAATTGTGCATTTTTCTTTAAATCTGAGGACTAAATTCGCGTATTTTCCTTCAAATCTGTGGGCCAAATATCACGTTTTCTATAATTAATATATGAAACCAATCAGTATTACATCCACAACCTTTCGAATGTAGGTGCGGACTTCGGAAACCGAAAAAAATATTTTCGGCTCAGAATGATCAGGGTAGCATGAAACATGAACAAAAGAAATTTCCAGAAAAACTTTGAAAAATTTGGACTTAGAAAATTTTCGGTCCGAGTCATTCGACATTCTCGATACGTACCTCTGAAAGCAGAGCTCCCGCTTCCGAGCTCGTATTGCGAAGGGGAGGCCTGCCATCCGAGATCGCATCACAAAGAGGAACCCTCGAGTCCAAAATCGTATATCGAAGTTCGAAAACCGAAAAAAATATTTTTGACTCATAATGATCAGGGTAGCATGAAACATGAACAAAAGTAGTTTTCAAGAAAACTTTGAAAATTTTTGACTTTTAAAAATTTTCGGGGAAATTAAAAAGTTGGCCCTTTTTGGCCCCTTGCCCAGATTTCATGGGGGGGCGATGGCCCCCCCTGCCCCCCCGCTTCCTACACCCCTGATCATCACACATGTCTACAAAATATCATCGCACTATTATTATATGTAAAGCACAAATGAAAAGGATATTTCCACAGAAATGTGTAGTGTTGTCCATGCCAATCGTCACTGCTTTCGCTGACCGAGTATAGAAAAATGGAAAATCCTCAAATTTTAGTTTTAACCAAATTCTATCTAGTCAATTATATTAATCAGTTGACAATGTTTGAGACATTTTCACTGATGGGCAAATTAATTCTAATGAAATTTTCCTCTAGTAGACGCACAAATTATAAAAATCATTACCACACAACTGACAACAAAATATTCAGAATTTCTTGCACCAGACTTGTGTTTGCTACGAATTTATTCACAGATGGTCCGGTATTGGTCCCACAATTTGTTATTGTTTCCATAACTATCAAGAATGAAAAATAAAAACACATTCTCGTTTTGTACAAAACATTGTTTGATATAATTATCATAGTCAAACATTTCGTATCTATCAACATTCAACAGCAAAAAAGGCCCAAATATGTTTTTAACTTGAAAACAATTAAATCGAATTAATCACCACACTATTTCCCTCTAATACATTAATAAAAAAGTTAAATAATATTGATCGCCTTCCCTTCTCGATTGTTGGTATTACCTTAACATTATAAAACTTTATTCCATCCATACAAACTTAATTTACACAACTTTCTCTCAATAAAATTAAAAAATGTTATCATGAATTCAAACTTTACCATAAATACTAAAAAATGTTTATCAAACATCTTAACAAATTGTTTACCAACAACTCAAAAACAAATACTTAAATTATCAAGTAATAGAAATGGAATTTTATCCATGACAAAACAATTTAATATTAGTCAATAATTATTATCATCAGTACAAAACAATAAACCAACTATTCAGTTTTAGTTCTCATTTTGATTGGGTTAAGTGATTTGAGGAAGGATTTGAAACTGAGATCTTCACATTCCCACAAAGTCAGAAGTACCAAAACAAAGCTCAGCCCTCCGATGATAATGTGACACAGGTAACCTGAAATGAACTGTGTAAAAATGTGTATGTGTATTAGCTGACAGCTAATTTGTACGATTCGGATATATAAAAAAGGTAATTTCATGGCACTGACAACTAAGCTAAAGAAAACATTTACCGAGGGGAGATTCAGTGGACTCTAACACAAGTTTAGAAAGAAGAGCGGTACAGCCACACACTGCTATTATCATAAGCTGGGGAATGTTGGGCAGGGTACGGTACAATGTGTCTAGCCCTCCAAAATACTGAGCTGTGTACCTGTAGAGTATGGGGTCAAAATTATTATTACAAGATATTAGATATTTTATAAATTTATTTACGTTTAAAAAAGCATGAAACTTATTTAGGAAAGTGCCAAAAAGCTATAAAAAAGTTGGGGGATATTGCGTGAGGACTCACGGTTAAATGGAACATATCAACTTTGAGAACTTAAAGGGTAAAATAGCACACTATTTTGACTCTTGACAGCGGCCACTCAATCAGCTAACAGTCAGCAAATTAACTATTTAGCCAATTACAGTAAAACCCCGATTTACAGCGGAGTTTGGGGGAAAGGAAACATCCGCGGTAAATCGGGGATGGAAAGAGATGGCCGCGGTAAATCGGGGTTTAACTGAACAAACCTCAAGCTAAAGAATATGCGGATAGCCATGTTGCCGATATTGGCGAGGATGAAACCCACTGTTCCGAACAAGTAAGACAGAACAACTGATAGAATGAGGAAGCAGGCGGAGAAGGGGAGCAGTTTTAGGTTGTAGTTCTCAACTTCCATCTGTTATTAATAGAAAGGTTATTTCAGTGGATATTCCATTGGAACTGACGGAAAAACTTAAGGTCTCATTCAGACTTGTAATAAAATTCTAGAATTCTCTAATTATCAAATAACTTTATTAATTTTCTGTAGTCAGATATTAGTACCTGAGACATGGTTGCAAAGTAGAAACACTCAGAGACTCCGTTAATCCCACAAACTGCAATGTACGGACAATGCCACTGTAACAACCAGGGCCCTGAGTGATGGAATTGTAGATATTGTACACAACAATGATACAAATAGTAAGAAAAATCTCGAATCAAGAATGTTTAAAATTTCAGTGGCGACCCATCAGACTTTTATCATGTGATATGAAAATTCCTGAGCAGAATGGTAACGAATGCGTATTCAAAAATTTCGCATGCAAATTTATTTTGAACTTGAAGTGATGAGAATTTTGTTGATTTCCTGATTCTAGATAGCATACCATCTGAGGAGGCGAGACTCTGTCCTCCGTAGATAAGGAGTGCCAGTCTTGCGTAGGACAGTCCGTACACAGTCACTACAAGTCCAAATAGAGCGTTGAATCTCAGTAGGTTCCCTAGCGTCTCTTTACATGTCTTCAATGCGTCTCTTCCCTGAGCCAGGAAGATGTTTAATCGGGTGGGCGACAATTGACCCCCCGACAATTGACCCTAACCCTAACCCTAACCCTAACCCGAACCCTTACCCTAACCCTAACCCTAACCCTAACCCTAACCCTAACCCTAACCCTAACCCTAACCCTAACCCTAACCCTAACCCTAACCCTGACCCTAACCCTAACCCTAACCCTAACCCTAGCCCAAACCTTGTCGGGGGGTCAATTGTCGTACTAAGCCCTAGATTTCGCGACAATTGACCGAAGTGTAATTGCATAGGGGGTCAATTGTCGGGGGGTCAATTGTCGCGGTACGGTTTAATCATTTGACAGAAAACTCCTCTATCATACAAAATGTAAAACTCATTTTGTATCATCAAAACTATCAACTTAAAAACTTCCCACTTTAAGTAGTGAGATGTACTTTCGGGATAGGCTAGTGTGGTAAATAGGGGGAGGGGTTTGAGGGGGGGGGGAAGGGGAGGGGTTGAGGGGAGGGGGTTTGAGGGTACCTGCTGATCCGGTGGGAGTCCTCTCCGGAGCATCTGAGCAAAGAACAGATAGTAACTATCTTCCACGTGTTTGAAACCTACTCGTATTACAATAGCTGCTAGTCTGGACACTGTGCTGAACACCCCTGTAATCACTCAAAGTGTAATTAATTGTAAATACTTCTCCGAATTACTTAAGATACTAATAGAAAAGATTCGTAGATTCCTCTACTGGGTCATCGAATAGTTCGACCGCTCTTCAATTTGTGTAAAAGTCATATTAATCTTGTGATTGCTGCATCTTCATAGTAACATACAAATAATACGTTTAGTAAAAACCTTGCTGTGCAAAAGTAACTACTGATAGGAACGTCATCACATAGTCTTCCCCCATTGTCAAAACTTGCTTCAAGACTGTCTGGAAGGAAACATATTAGAGCAAAGACATAAAACATATAAAGTGAAGGAGCAATGAGCGATAATTTTATACCTGTCATGCTATTAACTAAATTAAGGTCGCTATATTAATATAAATAAATACCACTTTTATTTGTTTTATATTACAAAATCGAGCATTTGAAACTCTTCAAACAGTCAGAATTGTCCTCAAAAGATAATAACCTGTTTTAAGAAGCTTATCGTTAAGCTAGCATGTTCAGGAGATACTGATATTTTACTCAATCCGTAAAACATGAGATCATCTTTACTCCTCTTAATTCTGTATATTATCCAGTACACCATCACATACAGTACGCTGTACACAACTGCACCTACAAAAGTCATTGGTCACTTTTTAATGGATTAAATTTATGATAAATTAAATTAAATAATTACCTAACCAACTAATGAGCGGAGCATGTAACAAGGACTGTAAAGGAATGGAAATGACTTTTAACCAATGTGAAGAACTTACCAACGATAAAAGGTACCAAAGAAGATGAATAGTGAGCCACTGCTACTGTTATCAGGGTTTGTAAGAGACTTGCCACCGCTTCTACTATTATCTGGAACATTATCATGAATGAACTCGGTAAAATACAAATATTTACCATGCATGATTGGAATTTCTGAAAACGTGATATTTGTGATTCGTCAGTTAAAGATTCAGGTTTTAGATTTGACGGTTCCCTGAAATAAACCCTATTGCTTGACTGCACGAGCTAGAAGACTTTAAGGGTAGTTTTGTACTTCTGTTGAAATTTACAGAGTACCGGAAGTCCCCAGATACATTAAAAATCGTTTTAACTTATTAATCTTAGTTATTCCGAGTTTTTATAATACTAATGAGATTGGTTTCGTTCAGTAAAGAGACATTTTTTGATGAAGATAAAATTAATTTTAACAGAATTTTTACAATGTTAGGTATTAGCAATTTAACAGTTGCTTACAAATATTGAAAACTTTTAACTGACTCAAACAAGATATATATTCTTCTTAATTATCAGTAGCTGATACCTCCAAAAGTGGAGTGATTGTTTGGTTTCCATAGTAACTAATCTCTCAGTTCTTAGACAGGAGGTTAGCAGTTTATTTATGTTTTGAAATGCTTTATATTAGTACACAGAACAATCAATAAGATACTGTAATACTGGTTTACAAGATAAATCCGATTCTAAATTCAACAAAATTCAACACGCGTGTCTTTTCAACAGACGTACCCGTTCGCACTCTAGTACACTTCACATCCCCAATTGGACATTTGATTTTTAGTCGTTTTTTTAGTCGTTACATTGTAAGATGTGGTAAAGAGTGATTTTCAGCTCCTCTCAGTAAATACTGATTATGTGATCTCCGCTCCATTCTACATGAATAGTCCTTATATAATAACTACGTTGAAGAAATAAGCTAGATTGTGATTCTCTGTAGATTACCCATTCTTGTGAGCTAAATGGGTTGATTTTATTGTAGGAATTCAACAGCTGTGGTAATTCAGAAATTCATAAATAATATTTTACAATTAAAATATAAGGCAAGACTATTTTCATTTAAACATTAATGTAATTACTAATTATTGATGAAAGTAAAACAGTAACAAGACCACGAACTTGGACGAATCGACATTCCAGTCCAGTTGACAATGATACCAACGAAATATTTTTATCAGCCAACCTCAGAATGATAAAATATCACTGCTTACTGTATAATATTGAATCTAACAGCTTTGTTTCAATATCTCCAAAGCTGATACCATCGAATATCTCCATCGGTAAAAAAATATCTCCATTCTGTTAAAAAAATCGTTTTAACTAATTGATTTTACTTTTTATGAGTTGTGATGATACAAATAAGAAGTCTTTGAGATGAAGCTTGGTTTCGTTTAGTAAAAGGGAATTGTTTTATGAAGATAAAATTAATTTTTACGGGATTTTTTACAACGGAGAGCCAGTTAGCAATTAAATAAATATTGAAAACTTTTAACTGACTCAAAAAATATATATTAAACAGTCTTTTCAACTATGTTCTCGGAAGAAATATTTCCTATTTTCCTAGAGTAAATATCAGCATATCTCCTCCGTACGAACTGAAGGCCGTTTCTCCAAGTCCTCAGGAATGTATGTCAGATTAAAACCGCTGACCGTCTTCTCTAGGTTCTTTGTGAGCTGTTCTTTAAAGCTGCGAGTTTTTGCGCCAGCATGCTCTTTAATTTGAAGTGCTATTCTTGGGTTAGCAATGAAATATATGACCGGATTAAAGATACAGTTACAGTGATATAGCGTCACCGTGAATATCTGGGCTACTTCGTAGGACAGCCTCATTTTAACGGTAACCATTATAACCTGAGGGATAGCCACGGCCACACCGGTTAGCAAGATAGCAGTTGTGGTTACTAAGAGTCTGCCAACTGGAATCTTGTTCTTTACTATTGAGATAGCTATGATGAGATACATGAGGGCAATAGCAATAAGAGGAACCATTAAGGACATGATGGGTAGGATGGGTTTCACGTCAAATACACATCTGTTGTAGGATGCCTGGTATTTGACCTCCATGGTACCTATTGCGTATCTGACCGGATCATAAATGAGATGGGTGATTACAGCAGGAAGCCAGGATGTTATAACCATTGCTTTGCTGACTTTTGGGGTCACGATGTCTCTGTATTTCGTTGGAAAGACCAGGGCAATGAATCGATCAACTGTCAGTGGTAGTAAGGTAAACATGATGGAGTCCCAAACGAAGTACGCAGGGAACGGGAAGAAATAGCAGTACCACGACACAGACCCATCATCTCCAACCCCCATGAAGTGTGGGGATATGATACTCAACCCTCTAGGAACAGCTATCAGCCCCATCAGAGCATCGTTCAGAGCTACGTTTATCAGAAATATCTTCTTAGATCCGGGCAGCTTTATAATGTTGAAATGTAGACAGATGATAGCAGCGGTGCTCATTAGGAATCCTAGAGTTCCTATTCCTGCTAAACCGTATCCGTTAATGAGATCGAAAGTGCATTTCTCTGTGGAATTTGAGCAGCTGTTTTCCTCGACGTTGTATCCCATCACTGCTAAAGAAACCTGGACAGCTAAAGTTAATTTTAATAATAATGTGAGGCTGACGTTTGACTGCCTGGCGGCCTAAGGCAACTCTAAATTATAACTGGCTACAAAACCAAGGCTAGCCTCGAGCACAATTGTAACTGCAGTTTTATAGATCTCTAAATGTTAAATAAACACACTTGCAGGTACCACCCGTATTCACACTCAGACCTGAGTTTAGTCATTTTCCGATACGAGATTGAGGAAGGGTTCTATAAACCAAGGTTATAACTATAACAACAAATCTAAAATACTGAGCTGAAAAGGGTTGCACGTGCAAAAACGCAGGCTACTGCTGTTTTCTCAAGACGGGGTAGACAAAAGAAAAGACATTTCAGCGGTACAATATAATTAATTAGTGCCCTGATTAATATACTGCAGCTGGCAATCAATGAGAGGAAGAAGACCAATTAGAAATGCTATTTTTATTTGTGGTTAATTGCATTGTATCAAAAAGGGGGGATTACCTAATTTAATTAGTTGACGACTCAGAGATTTACATTAATGAACAATGAATAATGAATATCCCTTTCTAAATGTTCAGCAATTTCAATGAAATAATTAGACGTCCGTATGCAGATTTGATGTTAACCTAGCCAAGTTCTACCTTCACGTTCTGAGACCTGACAAGGCCCAGAATAACCCAGTATTCGGTGGAACAGAAGCTAGTCCCGAGTCCAGCAGTACATCCCTCCCAAACTGGGGGGCGCTAACCATGATCAGCAGTGCTCGGTCTTCTTGTCAGGTGTTTGGGGAGTGGGGACCCTCACGTCGTGTCATTTGATGTGAGTATCTACAACTTACCCGGGGCGAGCTGTGATTACGTTTTGGCACTGGACCAAGATGCCGCACTGGACCAATTCTCTCTACGGGAGAATGCGACCCTGTGGCCACCTCGTTGAGGGAGTGTGCCTGGAATCAGTCACTATCTACGCCATAGGAGATGCTGTTGTGTTGCAGAGAGGGCTGGATTGTGAACCACAAGGGAAGGAAATAAAGACAGTACAGCTGAAAGGACCAATAAGAGTAGGTCCTACGTCTGAAAGTGGACAGGAATTGGCAATGCGGGAACTCCCGCCCCTACCATGCAATGGATCACAAGTTCGGACGAATACTATATTACAGTCCGCCCTGAGGAATGCATATATTCACTATTTCATGCCATATTATCCTCGATAACTTGCACTATGTGCTAGTGTAAAGATAATAATGAACGATGATACCATCCTATATATGTAATTATACAGGATGCTACGACTCAGCTCTCCTAAAACTTGCTCAACAAGAATTTCGCCGCGGTTACACCACGCACGATTAATTTTCCCTGCTTAAACCGTAAATATTTGCAACGAAAAGTTAATTTTAACGATTAATAAAAATTAGATATTGGATTATTTTGTTGTTAAAAAGTTGCAATATTTTCATCGTAATTTGTTATTGCGCGCGTGCAGGATTGCGTGTAATCGAATATTTAGTACGCCGCGCACAAATTTTGGGCTAATTTGATTTGAACGGCATCGTTTGACAATTGAAATTCGCGTTGGATAATGCAATTAACTAACACATGCTGAGCGTCGCGCGCAGCATAACAGACCCTTCCTATACTCATAATTACAGGGGAGTGGTCTATATTGCGAAGGAGCAGACTTTTGTCATCATCGCAGGTCCATCGGGATAGCTCATATATCCAAACCCGATTACTTATTCCCTACGATCTTTTTGCCTTCGGCAAGAGCAGGGAAAAAAATTTAAATGAAGACTGAACTAAAATTCGCTGACTGTCGCAGTTTTCGAGCTTGACTGAGTGTCTGATAAGCTGTACAGGAACTGGACAGTAACCTTGACTGGCCGAGTAGTCTTCTCCTTCAACTTGCCAACTCTACTGAGCTCCATTGCTGGTTTCAGTCCAATCTTCTAAAATAATATGTCTGTTCTGTTCAAGTCTTTACTGGAATCTTCAGGCAAACTGAAAATAATGACGTTCTTGCTCCGGTCTTCTGCTTGCACCACAGACTTGACGACTTTCTTCAAAGTCTCGGGAGTAACTGAACTTTCAGATTGACTAACGTTTTCCTGAACTGCATCGCTGTACGATTTAAACTGACTTTCTACCGTGTCTTTAACGACGGTCTGCACTGCCTGCAACCGTTTCTGCAACTGTTTTTCTTTGCAGTCAATTATTGATTCTTGAGCGCTGATAACAAATTTCTGATTCTATATCAACTGATTCTTGATTGAGCTCAGTACGTTTTTCATCTTCTTTAACGTGTCATTTTGAAAGCGAACCAAATGAAACGATACTGACAGAAACGCTGCAAACTTTTCTTTATCCGTTAAACTTAATGACCTTTTTAGCACAAATTTTTGCACTGTACAGAAGTCATGTTAACTGGTGCTTCACAACCGAACTGACTCATAACTTTTGCCATCCAATCCTCAGCTTTAAACATAATACTGTCAATCTCCGTGTCGTCCACAGCTGCCATGATGTACGGCTAAGCTTACAAGGATAAGAGAGCGAATCAAACAAACTTAATACTATTAGTGTAGGACTGAGCTGAAGTGTAGGGCCGAACTCAGAACTGTGGTAGTATAGTGGTACTAATACCTTAAACAGGAATGTTAGGGAAGGGGAAGGTATCGTATGATTTTCAGGGTTTGAAATAGTATTACTGTTGCGTACCGTGCACACTGCTTAACTGTACCTTTACCGTACCTTAACTGTGCCTTAACCGTACCTTGGCCTTAGCTGCTGGGCCTTAACCGTGCCTTAAGTGTTCACTGTTCACAGACAGATTATCGAATTCCGAATTACTAGTTCATTACTATTGATGATACATGTGTATCTACCCAATATTCTAACATTGATGACGGCAACCAGAGATCTGTCTTCTCGGATGTAAATATGTGTTTTGAGTAGTCCCATGACGCCTATTCTGCTTTATCAACTAGGTAACAGGTACGATCACAAACAGTATTAACCGGGGTTAGTTTATTTACAGTGATTCATTACACATTAGACTTATCACGAATGATGGGTCCGTACGAAATTAAACGTGTTTACCTGTTGATTATAGTTATTTCGTTATGACCGTTTGCTTTGATCGGCTGTTATCAATTATGGATCCTTTATCAGTATCCCCAGCCGCTGTCAATACTTCGCACTGCCCCGGCACTGGCATTGAAGTGGCACTACAGTGCCACTTCAATGTCATCACTTGTGGCAGTCAAATATCAAATTCGTCCGCTCGTTTATGAAAATTTGGTGCATTTCCCCAAAAAAGGTTTTGGTATGCAAGAGCTATTATAGCTATAATACTAGCCACTGGCAATAGATCATAATTCCAAGAAGTTGAAATAATTGTAAATTTGTGCTTTTCCAGTTAGTACATGTTATCAGTAAACGACCGGGGGTAGGATTTGGCCGGGGCCGGGGCCGGGGCCGGGAATGTCCAAATTTTGCCGGGGCCGGGAATTGGCCGTTCTGGAATTTGTCCGGGGCCGTGAATTTAATAAATCCACGGCCAAGTTAGAACTTTTCAGGACTTAGGTGGAATATCGTAATTGTAAAAACTATCAGAGGTTACAAAAACAAAGGACTGCTCTTGAAAGTTGGCACTCTGGACATCATCCTTTCAAAATTGAAAATCCATTTTAAGATTTATATGAAAGTTTTAGGCCGATTTCGATCAAAAATTCCCGTCCAAATTCCCGGCAAAAATTGAAAATCGGCCGGGGCCGGGGCCGGGAAGAAATAGCTCCCCCGGTGCCGGGATTTCACGGCGCCGGGAATCCCGGTCGATTACTGCATGTTATGGTCATAGAACAGACAAGGCAGGTCGGTCGGGCGCCGGTCGGAGCCCGGAGGTCGGTCGGGCGCCGGTCGGAGGTCGGTCGGGCGCCGGTCGGCGGTAGGTGAACGCCGGTCGGAGGTCGATCGGAGGTCCGTCGGAGGTTGGCCGGAGGTCGATCGGGCGCCGGTTTAGATTGGTGATGATACTGGAATAATACAATATAATATATCATTATTATTTAGTCTCATAATTTCCAGATTCAGAAATGGAAGACATGATCATAGAAGAATCTGACAAACCAACGGCTCCATTGAGATATCTACAGAGATTAAAAAAACCGGCAATATTTGGAGTACTTTCCTTGCTTATTCTGACGATGGGCCTCTACTTCAGCCTCACTCTTCCTTTCCTAACCGACGAGATCGTAAAAAATCGCAAACAAGGGAATATTATTGGTGGGGTCTTGGCAGGGACGTTCCCTTTCGTAGTCGCAGTAACCTCTCTAATAGCAGGATCTGTGGCATCAAAAACCACTGCGAAGAAGATGGTTTGGTGGAGTGCGGTAGCCCTTTTCCTTTCCTCTATCGTGTTTGTCATTCCCATGTCCAATAACGTCTTGTTTGATGTATCGGTCCTCATATCCAGGTAATTAAATCAAATACAATTATTACATGTATTTTGGGTTACTTGCCTATTTCTGACAGTAAAATGGTACAAAGTTAGGGTTTAGTGTCCTACCAGGTGTTTATCTATTCGATTTCTAAATAAAATGAAAATATGAATAGTCTGAAGGCTATTTACCTATTTCTCTCTGCAAAATGAGTTTTTGTGTACAACGTTTAGGAAGTGTCTGACCAAGTAATGAAGTAACGTATGGTTTTTATACTCCAGAGTAATTCAAGGAGTATCATTTGGATTAGCTGAACCGATGGTAATGGCAGTCATGGGATCAATTTACAAAGATTCCCTCGGGATGGTAACAGCAATATATGAACTTGCTTTTAGTGCTTCCCAGTTCCCTGGCACTTGGACCCCTGATGGGGGGTTTCCTTTACGATGTAGGAGGATTCTATCTTCCTTTTGTAGTGACGGGTGAGAGTATTTTTTATCATCTTTTATAAATTGAGTTTTAACTTCGGATTTAATTTCTCATACTTCAGCGATTCAAATTGGGTACCAATATATTATAGGCTAAAGAAAGAAATGGGGTATAAAACTAAGTAAAGTTTTAAAATTTTTTGGGGTGGGGGGGGGGGGGCTGACCATATTAAATTATCTTAAAATGTAGGTTTTCCCGATTTAGGGGCGGGGATATACTTTAATATACTTTAATATACTTTAATATACTTTAATATACTTTAATATACTTTAATATACTTTAATACATCCCTATCTTTTTGGAGGCCTAAATCAAAAATCGCTGCCCACAATAAACTTGAAATGCAATTCTTAATCGATTCCAAAAATTTCATGCAAAAATATTGAAACTGATGGAGTTATTTCAAGTTTAATGAAGTCATTTTGGCTAGTATCCCGAACCGAGATATAATGTGCAATTTTTTTCATGGATTTTTTAAAACTTAGTTTCCACTATTCAACAGATATTGAGCTATATCTTTCACATAAAGTTAGTCTCATTCAAAAATATTGAAATTTGATCGAATTTTTGGCGAAAGCTTTCAAATTTGGTGCGTATGCCCAAATATGGGCATATGGTTTAAAGCTCATAACTCAGCCATTTTTTGACCAAACTGGAAGTAAATTCATGTACTAGTTCAAAAACAGGCTTATCTTGCAAATCTAAAAGAAGAATATAGCTCGATTAATTTTGGGTATATTAAAGTATATTAAAATGTAGGTTTTTTCCCGATTTAGGGGTGGGGATATACTTTAATATGCTTTAATATGCTTTAATATGCTTTAATATGGTCAGCCCCCCCCCCTCCCCCATTTTTTTCTTTGATGAAAATTGAAATAAAAACATATTCAATCTTCAGGGTCGCTTCATCTGATTATGAGCATAATAGCTATCATTGCAATAACAAAAAATGCTAAAGAAGAAAGATGTGAGGAAGACACCTCTTTGACTAACAAGACCACCAGCAGAATGAAATCTCTGCTCAGACCGCAAATACTTCTTCTTGGAATAGTTGTAATGTTTTCTGTTGCCGCAGACGAGGCGTTCATTGGCAACTTCCTGGCCGTTTATATGAAGGACAGCTATCAGAAAACCGTTGAAGTAACAGGGACAATTTTAATGGTTTGTGGGGTGTGTAACTCTTTTGCTATCATGCTATTTGGCTACTTGACAGATAGGGGACTGTCTCGAGCTGTAACCATAATATTAGGATTCATTGCTCTTAATATTGGAACACTTCTGATAGACGTCTCACTATTTGGAGCAGTATGGCCGAGTTATGTGTACCCAGGGATTATGTTTGGATTGGTCGAGGTAGGGAGTGGTATGATTCAAGTTTGTATCTTACCACTCTTGGTATTTCATGATGGTCAACCTGATCAGGAACGCTCAACTGAAGCAATGACTGGGGTTTACAATGCAGGGTTCTTCATCGGAGCTTTTATTGGGCCTCTGGTGGGATCTGCTCTAGTGGACTTAATTTCTTTTCCAAAAACGTTCATTATCTTTTCAGCTTTTATACTTGGTGTATTTGTTATTATTGGAGTTGCTCATCTTAAAATGAAAAATCTATTCAACTTAAAGGGAAAGCTTATCGTGCCGTACGTCGACTAGGGACACTTTAGACAAGAATATTTATGTGACGAATCAAAATATATTTTCCAATAAAAGTATTTATGTAAGATGTACGTTTTATAAAATGTTTATTTTTGACAAAAATGTTTTCATGTCTCTATTAGCGAAACTAATTGTTTTAGCCCTGGAAAATCTAAAATCTAGAGTCTAGTTACTAGTCAGGAAGCTAACTTACCCCTGGTAACCCCTGGTAACCCCTGGTAACCCCTGGTAACCCAAGCTAACAAAGTACTACTTTCAATTATATGTTTAAAGATGCTAGAAACTGAGAGGTTTCTAGAGAGTTTCTGAGAGAAACGAAGATGAACATTCGTTTCTTTGGGGAACAATAAATCGACCACAAGCTCAATTATTCAGAATTTTAAGATTTGTACGACGGAAGCTCTGCGTAAGACTCGATGGAGTTTTTGTTGAGTTTAAAAGGATTTGGAAATTAAAAAAAAACTTTATTTCCTGTTCTGACCAACATTACACGTTGCACAGCTTGCAATTAAATTGAAGTGATTGAATTGTTCAATTAGTGGTGACTACTGGGGACCCTTGAATACCGAGAATTTTCCAAATTAGCTGAACAATTACCGCACAAGTTCGACAAAATACAAATTCATAACTTTTAAAAAGATAATCTTGATAGTGTAAAAATTATCAGCGCGGCGGACTTACAAATATTTCTGATTTAAATTAAAGTAAAATAAACTTACAGGACTCCGAACGAAATGTTTGTTAAGGAGATAAACATGAGGCGGTTCAGCGAACAACTCCATAACCGCACAAACCGCGAAAATGACACATCCTGCGGTGTAATGCGGTAGATCTGGGGTCTCCAGCACTAGGACCCATAGTAGAGTCAGGCTGCAGCCGAGCATCGCACTAAACGGGTATGGGGTTAGGGGATATATTATCTCGTCATCCTACATTCAAAACTGTCTATTATATTACTATCATAACAATTTCAAACCATAGAACGATAAACTAAATTTCATATTTTTGAACGTATTTACTTTTTAAGTCACGAAAAAGCCAGTTTTGAACACTTCAGTCACATTTTAAACGAAAATTAGAAAACCCTTAAAATGCCCACTATCCCACCTGAAAGGAATGCTAATCCAGATGAGAGACACTAGTTGAGGCCACTGTTCAGGGGGATGCTTGGCGAGACACACTTTTCTGAGCGGTTCCCGGGAGAGTATTTGTATAGTGGCGTACAGCAGGTAGAGTCTTATGTACACCACTCCTAGCACCTGGCCGTTAATTAACCGTTAATTAACCGTTAATTGCTTTGTTAATGAAAATAATTCAATCTCGTTATCTAATATTGATTCGTTGTGTGGTTGTGTAATAAGTTAATCAGAATGAGAAATACCTCATTGGATACAAGTCGTATCAGGTATCCATTAGCGAGGAATGATATCAGCTTTAGAAACACCTGAAGTGATAAACCTTAGTTCACAGGGTCTATAATTGATATGGATTAACTAAAATGATGGGGCGGGGAGGGGCATAGCATGGAATGAAGCTGTCAAGAGTTTTAGCGATGCTTCAAATAGAATGCTGTACATCTCCGAGATCATTCCCTTTCTCCGATAGTCTAGTTTTTATGATAAGGACACCAGTTTTACCAAGATTATCACGATGTTAAACCTCAAAGCAAAAGTGTGGTAGCAATGCTGTGACGTCACATCTGGCAAGATCGGGAGATGCGATTACAAAGTAAATAGAAGTGCATGGTGGAAGAGTGAAGTGCTGGTTATCATGATGTTGCGGATTGTTCTGAGTTGATGAACACGTTACCAAGATTGACCATTTTTATACCACAGCCCAGTTCATTTTCGTGGTTCCTGATTTGGATATCTTCCAAGAAGTTCGATGAGAGTTTTTAATGGGCTGTAGTTTGTAAATGGGTGACTTAAAACAGTCATGCAGTTACTGCTAAATTCAGACAATGCTGTTTCTTATAACTCTAAAAATTGGTCCAATCATGATAACAAGGTCCAATCTTGGTAACATGGTCCAATCTTGGTAACATGAATTTCACACGAGCCGTAAACTGGGCGGTTAAAAAGCAGCTGTTAATCACTTCACACGCACACATCCTCTTACTTGCATACGCTCGTGCTCCTTGAAATTGAGTGGGTACAGCATTCTGAGCACTTCTCTGTCTTGAAGGGAACATCGCACTTTCATTGGTCATGTGACCTGCCTACAGACTGTTGGTTGGTCAGGGGTGTGGTTACCACCGAGGTGTTTTGTCCCATTTAAGCAAAAAAGGGGAAACAGGCAACAGCCAGACTATGATGTCAGTAATTTAACTTCCAAGTTTGTCATTGGAGATATAAAAACGCGCCGTTGAACGTGACAATAAAATTGAAGGACCGACGTCCGACACAAAGATTTCAATACAAAATATTTTGATACGTTAAATGTACCGCAAACTGCACGATGCGGTGCGGCATTTTGTGTCCATTGTGAACTCTCATAGGAAAAATTTCCAATTTGCAAACGAGAATTTACGAACCGGTCAGTAACGGGTTTCAATAATATGCCTGATAGTTAAAATAGCGGTCAATATTATTATCAAGTTCAAGAATCATAATTATATATTAAGCTTTTGTAGACAGTTGGTATCAGCAATTTCGGGCAGAAATTCTACAATTTTATTGACATCAAGAATCTTTGAACAGTTATAAAAGTGGCGATCTTTCCGAATAGACTATTTGAACAATCTCTATTCTAGATATCTCAATATATTACGTCACTAGATTATATGTATAAGTTGTTATCCGATGCAGAGTGCAGACAGTCTACTCTTATCTGCGAATTTACTTTTGGCAGGCTATTTTAGGCCGAATCGATTTTTCAGCGGAATTTCCAGCTTACGTAGATAAGATATTATTGCTTAACTTTTTATTGCTTCACTAATCACTATGGAAAATGAGATGACTGTAGTGGTCCAAAAATTTAAGAGACATCTTCTTCCACTGAACTGAAGACATTGATAAAACTAAATTTAACTAAATAAAACTCTGGCACGTCGTAAGTGCTGCCCTTGAGTTTGAACGGAATTCTTCATAATTGTCACGCTTTAAACGAGTTAGATCGTATATTGGTGGAGAGGAACATACTGAAAACACGTTATTTAAAAGAAAGGATTATTAGAACTGGATCAAAAATGCGAATGGACGCTATAATAAAGCGTCTATATTGTCAAAAAGTGATTTACCACCATGTGATAAGAGCTTATCTTCGATTGAATATAATTCACCAGCGTGTCTTCTAAATTAAGAAAACGAATTGCTTATTAGTGAGTTAGATCATAGATGCTGTATGTACACAATGTACTCAAATTAATCGACATATTTACATACGTGAGTTGGGTGTGCGTTACAGTTACGTACGTTACACAAGGAGAGGTATGTTAAGTACGTAAACTAAATTATAAACGAGCGTACGTACGTACGTCGCGTACTATACCGGCATGCAGTGCAAATTTCTATTAAAAGCGTAACAAACTCATTAATTTATACTGCGCGCGTTCCTGCATAATTCTTCAGAAGACCGTTTGGGAGCGGTAGTCGAATTGAGTTGAGAATTCATATCATATTCACAGTTTAAATTTACCGTATAGTATGTGAGACCTAGTTTTAACGCTTCTTATCTCTATCGGGTTAATTTCACCAGGGCAACACAATTTGTTAGTCCCGTCAGGAAGGTTTCTAGAATATTATTCAAAAAGGTAACTACAGTGTACAAGATTTTAATTGAAATCTGTCGTCACACACACAAATCAGGAATGACTCGAATGGATGTATTTATGTGTTAACGTTTATAGAAGCGATAATATTATACACATTTCAAAAGTCGAGATGAAATTACAAATTCCGAAGTACCAGATTTCGCAAATCATACCTGAGAAATTGCTTTTGAAGAGGCACCTCTTGCAACAGCCGAAGCATCCATAGCTAGATATGATGATTTATCAATTAAAAAGGTATATAAAAATAAAGTGAATCTTAACTTTCATTAATCCAACATGATACAGTAAACCCCCGATTTACCGCGGAGTTTGGGGGAAAGGAAACATCCGCGGTAAATCAGGGTTCGCGGTAAATCGGGGTTTTGTTTCTTTAGATTATACATGTTAAGCCCTATTTGGGGTAAAGGAGATGGCTGCGGTATATCGGGGTTTGTGGTAAATCGGGGAGCGGTAAATCGGGGTTTTACTGTATATCTGTTATAGGTTTGGAGGATAAGTGTTATCGTGTGATCACACGTTACGTTTCAAAAGACCTCCAATTTTTACCTAACATTAGCAGTGGTCAAAGATAACTTTTATCAGTGTTTGAGTGTGTCGTCAGGAAAAGGCATTATTTCTCGCCCTGAACATTTTTAACAAAAGGATGAAATAAAAATCGTTTCTGATAATTAAAGATAATAGAAACGCAGCATATATTCTGAATAGAGTACATAATATATAACAAACAAACAAAAAGATTTTCAACTGAAGCAAAACACAAACGATAAGAAACATCTTTAATAAAAAGCTTAAGTTACAAATCCCCTGTAATCATATAAAAGTTACCTTAAGTAGCTCAAAATAGGCGAATTAATCAGGGCCAGCCTTAATTTATTCAGGTAACAAAACATAATTAATCAGATAATCATTAATAATTATAAAGTAGGATGACATTTTTGAAATTCCTTCACTTCAACTACTCCTTCTTTTCTTCCTGTTTCCTGTAGAAACGAGCTCTTCCTTTTTTCAAGACTTTCAGTTGATTCGAATCTATAACGAATTTGGGAACAAGCCCATATATGGTCGTCTGAAACAAAAAGTGTGATTTTAGGCGTGGTAACTTGACAACCTGTACAGTGTATATTCCAAAATATTAGCATTACTACAATCTAAAAATATAGAATCTAACAAAACGCAAAGACTAAAACAATAACCAACCTGCAGGGAATGGGCCCAGTACCCACAAGTGAAGGCAGTTTTACCGAAAGTAGCGACAGCAGACCGGGCATACGCATCAGGAGTTGGGCACATACGGGAGGGACGCATTCCAGTCATAGCAGTAGACACAAACATGGGGCAGATCACCTGGGAAGTGGTAATACGTAACAAACCTACTTCAGTTATCTGTAACTAAAATATTCCCAATAGTAAGAGTTGATGCAACATAATCTCGGTAAATAGAAAATAAATACTCAAAGTAAAATTTCATTTAAACCTGGAAGTGAATGTTGCGCTCAGCATACTCTTGGCGCAGTGCATCAGTGAAAGTGTGCACGTACGCCTTGCTAGCACTGTACACCGAGAGGAGAGGCGTGGAAAGCAACCCGGACATAGAACCAACGTTTACAACCAAACCTGGGGATTGATTAGGGTAATTGATCTTTTAAGTGAGGAATCAATTAGACTGAAACTAGTTTAGTGGTTATTGTTGATTTGCTTATTGTTATGAAATGAGAAGTGAAGGTGCCTTATTGGGGGCGGGGTTCAATGCTTGGATTTGGATTTGGATTCGATACTCCACATTATTATCTCTTGGTACTCATATTATCCAGCCTAGAGAGGGTCAGCTATATTATGGAACAAAGGGTACAAAAGAATGTCCAGTTTTATCAAAGAGCCCCCAAAATCCAGCGGAAATAGTGGTGATGAGAACTACTTGAAACGATTAGATGTCTACTGAGTACTCAAGAAGTGATTATGTAGATCAAGATACGAATCTGAGTGATTAGAAGGGACAGAGGCTCCAAACAAACTACCTCAGAGATCTTTGTAGTGTAGATTACAGAAACCACGAGATCACATACCTACTGGAAAGGCAAATTACCAAATATGCATTATAAATGACTTGCTCCAGGTCTTCTTTGCCTGCAGAAAACCCTGACACACGTCAATAAAAGAAAGCTGTGCCGAGAATCCTCCTCCTAAACGATAGAGGTCCCTAGAGGACATTATCTTTTGTCCATATCAATTGACCCAATGGGCCTATCTCCATTTATTCAACAGTTGCTCAACCCTAAACCACCTTTAAAAGATTCTACTTGGATCAAATCGCTTTAATTCGAATTTTCCCGTGTAGATTTTCTCACTGTGTGTTCACTTTACAAGATGAAGATCTGGGCCATGCTTATACCTGCGATGCTGTTAGCATCAATAGTTTTTGGAAGGTCATTGGAGGAACAAGCTCGTCCTATTGGAAGAATGGAAGATAGCGAAGAACAAGCTCGTCCTATTGGGTTGGAAGATAGCGAAGAACAAGCTCGTCCTATCGGGTTGGAAGATAGCGAAGAACAAGCTCGTCCTATTGGTTTGGAAGATAGCGAAGAACAACCGCGCAACAGCCGTTTCGGAGACAGTGAGGAACAAAACATTGCATGGGGATTAGAGGAAAGTGAAGAACAAGCTCGTCCTATTGGAAGAATGGAAGATAGCGAAGAACAAGCTCGTCCTATTGGTTTGGAAGATAGCGAAGAACAACCGCGCAACAGCCGTTTCGGAGACAGTGAGGAACAAAACATTGCATGGGGATTAGAGGAAAGTGAAGAACAAGCTCGTCCTATTGGAAGAATGGAAGATAGCGAAGAACAAGCTCGTCCTATTGGTTTGGAAGATAGCGAAGAACAACCGCGCAACAGCCGTTTCGGACTCATCGGAGACAGTGAGGAACAAAACATTGCATGGGGATTAGAGGAAAGTGAAGAACAAGCTCGTCCTATTGGAAGAATGGAAGATAGCGAAGAACAAGCTCGTCCTATTGGTTTGGAAGATAGCGAAGAACAACCGCGCAACAGCCGTTTCGGACTCATCGGAGACAGTGAGGAACAAAACATTGCATGGGGATTAGAGGAAAGTGAAGAACAAGCTCGTCCTATTGGAAGAATGGAAGATAGCGAAGAACAAGCTCGTCCTATTGGTTTGGAAGATAGCGAAGAACAATCACGCAACAGCCGTTTCGGAGACAGTGAAGAACAAAACCTTTTATTCGGATTAGAGGAAAACGAAGAACAAGCTCGTCCTATTGGGTTATTATAGGTAGTAAGTATAAGGAGAACAGTGGGAAATAATGATAATGATTGAAATGTTGATTTAGACATCGGCACCTCTTTAATTGAATTGAGATGGTCGTGGATGTTTAACTGCATTGTATACATTGCATTGTATACTATACTGTTTTATGGACTATTAATATTGTAGAGTATTTTACGGGAATTTTTTAAAAACATTTCTTTATTTTGAATTCAAGATCAAAGATACAGATTTATAATATCTGGTTATGCGACATATTTAAGTATTACAATCATTGCTTAACATATGATTTTTATTGTATGTACGTAAATAACCTTGATTTTATTGATTCGAATTCCAGTTATAAATAAACCTTGCATTTCAAAATCTTATGATTTAGTTTTATTTAGCTTGATTGAAAAAAAAGAAGAGTTCAAAAATTGCTTTCATTGAAATTTGGATATGAATTAATAAATAAAGCTTTGTCATGATGCAACTACAAAGTAAAAATAACTGGCTAATTGGGCAAGATCAAGGATATTTCTGTCAACAGGTTTCTTACCTTTCTTGTTAGAGCTCATGGATCCTACAAATTCCTTAGTAAGTGCAGTGACAGGTAAAATGTTCATGTGTATCAGTTTCCACATCCTCTGAAAATAAAGGGTTACAAAATGGTCACTAAGGTAATTTCGGTCATTCCTTTATGGTTACTGTGGCTACTTAATGCTTACTATTAAGGTCTCTATAGTGAGACATTTAATTGAAGATGGCGGTGAATATCAAACTGAACTCTGCTCTCGGACCTGCGTGTTAGATTGGTGTATCAATATTTAAACACATAATAATATCTAGTTAAATATATTGATTCACTACTAAGTTCAATTGTCTCTACACTACCGTGATATTAGTGGTCACTTGGTGGCTCAACTTGTTTTTAAGTTCACTAAAGTTTGGTAGTGGGTAAATGGATTGACAAGCCGAAAGCCGAAAGAGACGGATTGCCTTGTTAACATCAGACACTTCCAACATCAGTAACATGCTGTTAACATGTTGTTAACTTGTCGTTAATTTAGAGTGTCTGACAGTGCTAGTAACCCGAGGTCAGAGCTAGACATGCGGCTAGATACCTAGGAACATGTAATTAGAGACATTTATACACTTAACATAACGAATCTGAATACATAATATTATAGATATCTACATCTGTAGTTACGTTTCTCCTAAATTATTCAGATCCGCTCGTTGAAATTCTAGTATAGAATTCCTGTACAATACATACAATATACACTGTACATGTAGATTGTAGCTCACAGTGCACAATACTGTGCGGTGTAAGCGTAGTTTCAATACAATACCTCCTCACCGCAATACACGTTGTTATGTATCACAACAAGACACGGGAGAATGAATTAATAATCTGTAAATTTGTGTACACCGAACATGTCAGTAACCAGCGAATTCCTAGCATTGTCACTGGATACTAATACAGTTCAGGTTATTGTTCTCATCTACAGAGTAGAAACCACTAGTGTATTGGTGTGGTACGTGTGTGTGTGTATTGGACAGAGCTCTATTTAATTAAACCATTTGCATTCTTTAACCACGCCCTTTTCAGGTGTTACTTGTAATCAGACACACCAATATGAGTCAGATTATGTTTCCCAGACGATGGCGTACAAAAACTACTAGTTCCATCTTTAAAAGATGTCATCACCATATTTACCATCCACTTTTGGAATATTCTCGAATTATGATAACTTATGGATTGATTCCTCTTCAAATTCTTACTCTATGAACTTTTTGTTTCTAGATACGTTTAGATTATTTAAATAATAAAATATGTGATAACTTACCGCAGTGTCAAAAGCGTCCAAATATTCTGGATGATCGTAGGACAATCCAACGTTGTTCACTGAAATTAATAAAACGATAACACGTCTGAAATCAAGATGAAATAGTTCTTACAAGCTTTGGTACTGGTGATGACCCAATTATTCTCTGATACAAGACAGCAATATAAAACAATTCAGTTCCAGGAGCGGCCAATCGGATTCCTATTTATCATAGTTACATATAATAATGGTTCAATAATGGTTCAATAATGGTTCAATAATGGTTCAATAATGGCTCAATAATGGTTCAATAATGGCTCAATAATGGTTCAATAATGGTTCAATAATGGTTCATGTCCCTACTGTCCTTGCTGCATCATGTACTATTAACTAAATAACAGACGGACACAGTCGGGATAGCTTCATACCAGGTGTGGTACAATTAGTCCTCTGCCCAGTCACTCAACACATGATAATTCAGGTGAAGAATAAGACAGGTTAACATGCATGATGGCTCGTAAAAAGGACAGGCGGCATAAAGCGAGATGAGCAGATGGCACACAACTATTTATCTCTTTAACCTTTTCTGGCCATCTGGCGGCCGTCAGCATTCCTGATCCACAAAATAGGACATTTTTAGGCCATTAGCTTGTTAGAACCTAAGAAGAGAAGTACGTACCTTTAAAACTGAGCCATAAGGTATAAAAGTCACAATTTAGCCAAATTTAGAAATTCAGCCATATTTTGAAATTCGCGGAGAGTTAAAAATTGTCTTATCTGCTGTTCTGAAATGTTTACTCTGATCCAAAATTATTTAACTGCCATGACTAAATATTAGTTTTATGCAGTATACGTACGTCACTCATATTTCTTTGTTGCTGTGTCGACTGTCGTAATATTTTGCTTAATTCAGCAACTTAAAATACAGAATTAAAATGTTTCCCATTTTTGTACCGCAAGAGGAAAGGTACGGTACGTAGTACGTCCCTTTAGGAAACGTTGTACCGTACGTACTTTAAGCCGGGTACCGTACGTACTTCTCATCTTACTAGGTTAGAACCAATACAACATATCATGCCGTGCTAAGTGATTGTTGTAACTGAGTTTGGTTCAAAACTGTTCACCATGTGACGCAGTAAAGTTTTCTTATTATTGGCAAACAGTGGTGTAATATATAATGACACGTTGATCTATTGAGTCGTGACCTTTGAAGGTACTCATTTTTTTAGAATATCTCTTCCGAACACAAACGATATGCCGCATTATGATTAGCTAGATTTGTACTTTAGTTTGCATAATTTAATTTTTTACTCTAAACCAATATCATTATATCAATTTACTATGATGATTGCGCATTTGACCTAGTAACCGTTTTTCTTCATCTCGTTTCATTAAATCATTGCTTGCTCCCTTTTTCAGACCTTGTCCAATGCTAGACTAATTAAGTTCTGCAACAATGTATGTAATGTGGCATTTTATTCTAATTCTTTTATTTCCAGCTTCCAGCTCTACACCAAAAGGTAAATTGCGAACTATTACGAATAAGTCTACATAGTTGGGGTCAAATTAATTACCACGTATCAAAATACAATCAAGCACTCATTTTGAAAAGCCCAAAAGCTGAGCTGAAACTAATTCAGCAGCTTATTCACTTGAATTGCTTTTTTTATCTTCCGTTCTAGCTTAAAGCTAAAATAATACACTTCCTCAGGTCACTGGAGAAAAGTTAATCCTAAGGAGGTATTTAAAGTCAACAGCTATCCTCCTGGACTTTACTTTCAAACGAAGTTTACTCATGGCATTCCAGCAGATAAACACAGTTTCATTTTTGAAATAGCTGCTCAAAGTCCCGATCGTATCAGAGGAAAACTGATAGTTACCGTAACTCCTATCCTTACCCAAAGGAAGCTATCAATCGGTTGTAAAATCCCAGATTGTGACCAATCTGGTGAAACTATCATAAACACATCATCTGACATAACATGGCATACCCTACACACACAGGATAGGATATCAGTTACAATAAATAATAGTGAGGAGATAGCAAGTTTCACTCAAGATAACTGTTACTTGGGTGAATTCCCTGACTTCTCGAAAGTACAAGAGTTTTATTTTCAAACACCTAACTCAAGTGCTTTTGAGTTTAGAATCTTTGAGGGAAGTGATGCAAGGATACACAAAAGTGAGTATAATTTTCACTTATACTAAAGAGTTTTATATAAACAACATGTAATTACTTTTAAATTATTGAATTGGTTCAAGATATGTATTATCAAAACCAACTACGTGTGGGATAAAGATATCATGTGGTTTCTGAACGGGAATCAGAAAAAACATGATATTATTAAATCAAATTCATCTAACCAAAACTACTCCCAGACTTACAGGAAGAGTTCATCTTAACTTAATACCAACACCTACTTTTATGGCATCATCGCTTTAAATGAAATCAGTACTTAAATTTATTAATAAAATTTCTCACCTATTATTCCAATGTCAAGATCTTTGTAAGAGTTGTGAATGTTTGTGTAATCAGCAGGTGTTGTTACAGACATGTCCACCGCAGTTGTCTTTACTTCAACCTGAAATAGCAAGTTTGTAACCCAAAAGAAAACAAATTTGTTTCACAGGAAAACATCAGCAATTGAAGGAGCATTTTATGTTGACCGTGTACTAAATTAATGAATCTAAGACAGGACAAACATCATATTGCCAATACAAGTTTTACATTTTTGCATAGCATCGTAATTTTGAAAAGGATAGCAATCCTTGGAAGGTCAAGATACTAACATTATATTTTTCAGTGATCTCCTTTGACACAGCAGAAAGCTTCTCTTCATTACGAGAAATGAGGACAAGATTGATTTTCTGCTTTGCCAGTTCCTTTGCAATTGATTTACCAATCCCATCAGTACTTCCTGATAAGAAAGCATGTTTGTCAATAATAAATTAAAAGTTTTGGACCCAAAAGCAAAACCGTTTCTCTACTATTAGGATAACAGCGAAAGAAAATATGAATAGTTTTAGGTTGACTCACCTGTCACAATTGCCCAAGAACCATAGTCTCTGAGATTTTTGCTGCCAACAAATGTACTTAATCCTCCAAGGATGGTCGAAAGAAGGTTAATGACAATGTACACACAGCTAACAGCCCCAACTGAGAACACAATATCATTCAAAAATGTCATCCTGATAAAAGATGTAACTGTTAGTTCACTGAGGAGACTCTATTAAAAGACACTATGAGAAAGATATATCAGGTAGCATTATACAACATATTTAAAGCACCTAAAAAGCAATATAATCACATCATTATCAAAAATTGTTTTTGTATTGTTGCAAATTTGTTAGAATCAGGACCTAAATCCTGTCAAGACAGTCATGGACAGAAATAGAGTGTTTACTTATAGACCGATTTCATTAGAATCAATTTCAGATTTCGTGCTTAAGGTTTTAACAGATAAATGCAGTCTCATGCTGTTGGCTCAGTCAAATGATCGGGCAATCCTTTATTGAGGGTGGTATAATGCTGTATTTTGTAGATGATTTTGAATCTTAAATAAATAATAATAACAATAAGCACAACAACTTAAAATGCACAGGTGTGCCACGAAAACAGTTCAGGACACGGTAGTTCATAATAAACTTGTTAGACCCTTATGTTGTCAAAAACTAGGAGCTGAATTCTATTCCAAGGAATCAACCAAACCATTATTTAACAGTCATAAACTCCTTACTGTTCATAATCTTTACAAACTTCGTACTATAACTGAACTTTTTAAAATAGTGAAATATAGGGTACCCATATCTCTCTACTCTTTACTTAACATGTCTGAACTGAGGGATGACCGTCTAATACCACCAAAGCCAAGCCATAACTTTATTTATAAATCTTCTTGGCTTTGGAATCAATTCAAGGACTCCAATCCACAGAATAAACCTGACTTTGTGAACACATCCTGTAACTCAATCAAATCAAGGCTAAACCGATCTCTTCTAGATGCCCGAAGCAGGTTCGATAATGAGTGGCATAATGACAACTTTAACAGTTTTGGACCATGCTAGATTATTGATAAAAACGTGGAATTTATGTAAACAAATACTTAATTACTTAAATATTGCCGTTTCCGTACGGCGCTATACGTAATATATGTTAAAAGCGCGCCGCAGCTACTCCCTACCTCAACATTTGCGCGGGTTTCTTAAGCGCGCACGTACGTTTATTCTTGGCCGTTAATCAGACCCATGACATAACGCTATAGGTGGCAGTGACTGTAATTTTCTTCAACAATTACTGAATTATCCATCCATAAAGTGATTTACAAAATGACACCTAAACCTCGTGTTTCGGTGTTCACTTAAACGGTACTTGGCGGCTGAACTGTGGTGTCTGACGTTTGCAGCTAGATCGGACTCTGCATGATATTGTATTAGCAAATTTGTATAGTGTATAATTGTTTAGTGTTTATAATACTCTGCAACCTGGTAGCACGGCTGACACAAAAACAAAATGTTGGCCTGGCTTGTGCGTAACCAAGTAAATAACACGCACTCCGATTAAAGCCGTCTGGAGAAACTCCGCAAAATGTTCATTGTAGTCAACGGGCACAAAGAAGCACTACTAGCAATTGTGTCCTTTACCCTCCTACATAATTTGAACATTTTTGTGGCTAACTCATTGAACAACATCTGAATTAAAATGTGTCTAGTATTAAAAGATTCAGTAAGTAATTTTTTCATGTACGCTGTACACTGTAGTTAGTAAATCAAATCAAACTTTTTCGATCAGCCGCGCGCTGAACCAGTGTTGCACTAGGTAAAAATTGTGTATATTTTGTTCATTTTTGAGTGTAAATTAATTTATTAATTTATCACAAATTATTTTATTATAATATAACCACTTATGTGAAATGGTTATTTTGACTTTAAATATTTGAACTAAATATGAATTGATTGTGGGTATAAAATAAAATTTGTTTTACTAAAATTTGTTTTACTAATAAAACCTGAAAAAGCAACCTACATTTATATTCCAAACCAGGTAAGGGAAATTAGTCTTGATACACTAAATAAACGATAATGTGTATGCATTTTGTTGCAAGGGTACCCTTCAGTATGTTCAGTAGGTCAAAGATATTCAGATGCTGTCGGATATACAGGGTGGCCCAGGAAACACTACCCATCCTTATCTCTTAAAATTGAGATCTTGCTAATTGTTTTATTTCAGAATGGAAAAGCGCCATAACTTACGTTCTGATTAATATTTTTGCTTCAAATTTTTAGAGAATGTCAATCATAATTAGAGACAACTTCGTGCCAAGTTTTGTGTGAGTCTGAGCTTGTCTGACAAAGTTAGCTCCTGAGCGTGCTAGCTTTAATTTCTCACCCAGAACTGTTTACATTGGTTAATAGGAACCACCAAAAAAATCCTGGGTAAAAAAATTAAAAAACCACCGATTTATTTATGTTTTACCAATTCTATTCACCATGATTTATCACACATTCCATTCTCTGCACTTTGTACATATTTCAGCTGCACGATTTTGCAGACTGCTGTACAGTGTACATCCTATTAGAGAAAAGGTTGTAATGATATCTATTTATAAAGCTTTGATAAGACCTCATCTTGAGTATTGTGTCCAATTGTGGAATCCAGTTGCGGCTCATGGAAGTTGGGGGACTGTTTTGGAGCTGGAGAGCGTCCAGAGGCGGTTTACCCGTCTTATTGATGAGGTGGGTACTCTTCCATACAGCCGTAGACTGGATATTCTCAATTTGACAACGCTGGCAGAGCGGCGAATACGTGGGGACCTTATTGAAGCTTTTAAAGTAACTAGTGGTTTGACTGAATATGGATCGGGTTTGTTCAGAATGAGCAGATCTGGTCTTAATTTAGTTTCAACCAATAGATGTAGTAAGAGTGTAACTAAAGTCAGGAATATTCAGTCTTCTTTTCTTCCGGAGCGAGTCATTCCTTATTGGAACAAACTCCCTTCAGATGTCAAGAACTGCTCGACAGTTTTAAGCTTTAAAGTTAGATTGGAAGGATTCAAGAAAGAGATGATTTCTAAAAACAGTGTAAATGATTCTTATTTTTGGACTGTTTCGAATGAAGTTTTAGGGAAAATTGAAGGACCGAGTTATTTAAGCAATAAGGAGAGACATAATGAATATCTTTGGTTTCATCCTTTTGTGGCAAAGAAGCGTTTTATAAATCTTTATTCCACTGGGAAGTATTAATGAATTATTTATAGATAATGTATTAGATTTTATTAGTTAAAATTGAATTTATTAAATTATTAATGTTGATGGAAAAGTATATTTATTTAAAGTATTTTTCTATTTAGTGCAATGATATTTTGTAGACACTTGTGATGATGTTATGTCATAATCTTTACTTACTTACTTACTTACTTACTTACTATATTTTAACTGATAAGGACTCCTTCCTGCTTGTTTATATCGTTCTGCTCACTTGCCTTAACAAATTTAAAATTATAGCTGGATGATTGGCCTACAATTTTATCGATACTGAAATCAATTGAATTGCGTTTCTCGACAGGCACCACGAGAAGGTTAATCTATTGCCCTCTGTGTTGGCGATTAAATCACTGTTTGTGTTGGCGATTAAAATCACTGTTTGTGTTGGCGATTAAAATCACTGTTTGTGTTGGCGATAAAAATCAGCGTTTGTGCCACAAAAAATGTGGATTTAGAGAAGGTGCTCAATGTGACCACTGCCTCGGCTCTTCAGGACGTCCATTCTCTTGGCTACTGATAAACAGGAGTTCTGGCAGTGAGTGATGGGGATGCTCCGCAAGTTGTCACAAATGACAACTTCTAAAGCAGCAAGGTTGGGGATGGGTAGACTCTCGTAGACCTTATCCTTCAACCATCCCCACAGGAAGAGGTCGCAAGGAGTGAGGTCAGGAGAGCGGGCTGGCCAGTGTTGAGCAAGTTTCTCTCCGGTCATCATGCTCCCAAACTGGTCACCAAGGTAATAAATAATGCGGTTGGGGATGTGCACCTTTGCCATGTCCTGCATAAAGCTCATAAGAGACAGATCCAGGTCGTGGTGTGAACAGAAGTTGAAGAGTTCGGGTATGAAGAAGTTCTGCAACGCAACATCTGCAGGTAGCAATCTCCGTTCACAGATACAGTTGCACCAGCTGCGTCCTTGAAAAAGTATGGTCTGATGATTCCGTGAGAAGAGATCGCACACCAGACGTTGAGCTTTGGAGAGTTTTGAGTAGGTCTCTGCTGTGCTAGTCCTTATCAGTTAAAATATAGGATGTACACTGTACAGCACTCAGCAGTCTGCAAAATCGTGCAGCTGTAATGTGTACACAGTCCAGGATTTTACACAGGATTACACAGGATTTACACAGGATTAAAATTAAATTATAGATCCATTATCATGGACCGTCATAGTTGTACAGAAATATGGAGATCATGGGCGCTAATTCTAAGTACTTTTGTGAGAATGGAATGTGCGATGAATCATGGTGAATAGAATTGGTAAAACGTGAATAAATCGCTGGTTTTTTAATTTCTTCAGAAGTACAAGAAATGCAAACAATTTTCTCAAGTACAAAATTAAAATGTAAAAACTAGTCATACTGAATCACCGTCGGATAAAATGAAAACAAATTAAATTAAATTTGAATCGATTATAAATGTGACAAATAAGGCTACTTGAAATAAAATAAATAGCGCTCGATTTACTGCACGTACAAATATTTAGCGTGCGCGGCTGGTGCGGCAGTTGACGGATGTTACCAGTTACTCGTCTAAATTTCTTCGAAGTAGCGCGCGCCGCTTTCTTCTCGAAATGACGGCACGAGCTACGAAGTAGCGCGCGCCGGGCCAAATCATTAACAATGGTCAAGTGCGGCAGTACAAAAATAAAAGGTCATATCAATTTCTAATCTCAAAGGTGGGTGCTACTTGTAATGAACTTTAGAAGGATGGAATGGTAATACTCGGTCTGGCCGTCTAGAAGCCCATAGAATTCCAGTTCAAAAACCAAGTAAGGAAGTGCAGCTACTGATGAGAAGCCTTTTAAAAGTTTATTTGGGTTATAAACGACATTTGGGTCCCTACACTCTACCCTCGCACAAGATTATTTTCAATTTTTTTGTTGTGTTGCACAACTGTTACACACGAGTGCGCGGCGGCTGTATTTATATTGTGGCTTTCGCCTTACTGGGCGGCGCTCAGCCTGTCATTCCACCAAATCTTTATTCGGGCTGAGTAAATTATATTACGACTTTTCATACGTTGTATGACCCGCCGCGCACGAAGTGCGCGGCTCCCCCTGTAGCGTCGAAGACGCTACAGTGAAGCGACCGTGGGGGTCACCACGTGATACAAGTGAATGCCACAGGGTTTAAAAAACCCATGTAGTTGAGACACCTCACAAATCAAAAATCAAATCAAAAAATAATGACACAAACGTTATCACACATCATCAAAAATATATCTACTAAAGTTTTACAGCAAGTAGACCAAAGTCGCTCTTGCTTGTCATGTTAAAGGTGTATCAACTACCCGCCGAGGCGGTGGGTTGGGAGTCTTCGATGGGATCATTTCGTCCGCAAAATTTTACACAATATAAAAGCTACAATAAATTATCTATAAAATTTACATAAACAAACTTAAGAGACCTCAAAGCTCGTCTTCTGAGGAATGAGATTGAAGGATACGTCATCCAGTCCAAGGTGCTGGGCTTTTTGTCTTCCTCTGATTCCCCTGAGTGCTATGAGTGTGCTTCGTAGCAGATCAAACCTGAATCGTGTTCTGATGTGATTTTTGACCTGGATCTTAGCTTCTTTATTGTGGTCAGCTATCCTTTCAGAAATACGATCTACAAACACAGTGCAGAGTGGGCCATACCTCCGGATGTTGTAAAGACTAGTGGGACAAAGGACCCTTTCTCTGACTGAAGTAACAGGGTCCAGCAGAAATCACAAGCCCTGTCGCTGGTGCTTGCATTTTTCCAATGCATAGTAAACTTAACTGAATTTGTAACCTAAATTTGTTTTACTTAAAAGTTATAACATAAGGAAAAGTGCTCCCCCCGTTTCGTATTGAAGTCATTGGCATTATGTTTCAGTGTGGCTCTAGTGGCGTAACACTGAATGTTGGCACCCCTTGAACCTATGAGAGGATTTGCAATAAAATCTCTTACATAAGGGAAAGTGCTCCCCCGTTTCATATTGAAGTCATTGGCATTATGTTTCAGTGTGGCTCTAGTGGCGTAACACTGTATGTTGGCACCCCCTGCGCCCATGAGAGGATTTGCAATAAAATCTCTTAAATAAAGTATATCTTGAATCTAGAGCAAAGATTATTTTACTAATGCAGTCAAACCTCTATACCAAGCCTCTTTATACCGGGTACCTTGATATACCAGGCCTCTTCTTTTCCCCAAGAACATAAACTTTGTAGGTCATAAAACTTCTGTTTTGAAAGTTTTCCCCTAAACTTGTATCACCAACCCACACTTCTTAGCATGTATATTTGCTATTTTGTAAAAGTTTCGAATCAATCAAATCATAACCTAAATTAGCTTATTTTGTGCAAGAGAGGTGGCTTTATATTTGAATGTAAATTTAAAAAAGTCTTTTTAATACTGTTTTTAACGTTTATGTTTGATATATTAATGCTGATTACATTAATCATTATGGCAGGTTCAAGGTAACATATATGTTTGATGAATCGTCAGCTCTAAGCATCATCGATGATACAAAGCCCTTGACTGCTATCATCTCTGAGACTGAAAATAATGGCAGCTACATTGTAAGTATCAAATTAGAGACATTGAATGAATTTTATGTGTTACAACTTAACCTTTTGTAAGTATGTTCATTTGGTAATACTTAGATGATTGCTCACTTTTATATATGCAATCAGATGTTAACGATCTGACTACAGACTGGCGGTCAACGTTCCCCGTATAGTAGCTCAACGGAGGGGGTAATCAGGGCACGTGTTAATGAAAAATGTACGTGTCCTTCCACAATCCCCTCTGTTGGGTCACACGTTATTGGGAACTGAGATCGCTATCGTGTAACTAGAAGCAGTATGTGCAAAGTAACTTAGGTGATAGGTAATAGGCAATATGAAATTACACATCTTACTTTAACTTTATCCTGTCACCCATGGACTTATCAATTAACGGCTGGTGGTGGTGTCATCGTTTGTCGTACTCAAAACGTTTCGCGGTTGCGAATGCCGGCCCATCGAGGAAAATCTTTTTACTTTGTATTTTAACCATTATAAAGTGTGATTAGTCGGATATGGTACTGAGTTCAAACAGTCCCCGAAACGAAAAAGCAAACATTTGATTTTTGTTTCGGCGACTGAATCGTTGATGAGCCGGCAAATATTTGTTGTCGAGTAGTGTTGAATACTCATATTAACATGATTATTGATTTAATTTAGGAATTGTATATAAATATCTTTGACCAAGTTTAATTGTTAATGAGAATGCACCCCAGCGCTGGGCGCGCGCGGCGGCTTTGATGTTAGCGGCTACAAGCTTGAAGCTAGGCAGCTGCAGAAAAAATGCTGTGCGCGTTCAGCGTGGGGCTTTTCGTTTTTGATTTTACAAATGACAAAGCAACTTTAATTAAGTTAAGATTAATGGAATTATCGGATATTTATAATTCAATATGTATTGATTCTTCTGTGGAAAATGAAAAAAATTGTATTTTACTTAAATATTTAGATTTTGCAGTATCTAAAACCCTACTAAGAAGAGTTTAAGAAATATGCTAATTTTAGGCATTTTTTAGTTCAAAAGCCCATCTAAACTGAAAGTGAACATACTGATACAGCATTAATTTGATATATCAATATCATGTACTTATTTCCGTTCTTACATCCATGTTATTTATGTTATTAATGTGGTACTATAATTATATGGAATTCATATTATATATGTATAATGTAATGCTTAATGCGATATTTTTGGTATGTTGAATCTTTTTAATAACTTAAAATAGATTCCACTTTATTAGATCTTTAAAGAAACTTGATGTACAAAACAGTTTGAGGGGTCTCCAAGGCTTCAAAAGTATGATATGCTGGTGGATACTGGCTACCCAATTATTTATAATTAGATTTTGTTTTTTTCCATACTAGTAGGTTATGCTGGGATGGTATGAATAATTTTTTGGGATATGTTTCTGAGTCGTAATGTGGAAAATTACTAGAATTTATTTATTTAAATTATCAATTTTAAGTGGTAGCACTTCTTTAATTTATCATATTTACGGCTTCTATATAATATGGTCCTTCAAACAATGTATTAATAATATAGTTAATAATAGTTAATAAAAATGATATCAGTTAAAACTTCAATCGATTCCATAATGTAATTATATTTACCCCTTAATGGCACAACATAGATTGTCTCAAATTTCAAATCTATTTATAAATATGGGCCTAATCTATATTCGAGTGTAGAGTGGCTTTCCCATACCTATTTGGCTCTCACCTTACTAATCTGGAGCTGGTTATTGAGCAACTATAGAATATCTAGATCAAAACCTTCGGAGCTGGATTCATATCTAATTAGGGCTTTAAATAACATAGTCATTTATATCACTAAATCATCAACCACCCTAGCCCTTTCAGTTTGCCAACTATAAAATAAGGCTAAATGTTATTACACTAAATGTGTTTCAGTTGTACGAGATCAAAGTACACCGGGGAGCAAACTGTGATGTCACGTGGAGCGTACAACATAGGTACAGCGACTTTGCTGCTCTCAATTCCACCTTGCAGGTACCTGACACTAAATCCTGGCACCGTGCAATGCTAATGTTGAAATATTATCATATATCTATTCATGGTGGGATTTTAGACATTTTGTGTGTTTTAAGATATGCCGACTTTACACCGACAGTCATAAAACCATCATATTGACACGGAGATGTGCTTTTCAAATTAATTTCTTATTATTTTATTAAGAATATAGGAAACCTCCAAGGGTTGATCTAAATTATTTACATCGTTGTAGTAAAAAATAACAGTCAAAATTTTAGAGTGTCTTTTATCATAATGGTGTAATTATGATTGCACTGCCAAGCTTCATGAAAGTTACTTTTCTATTTTTGTAGCAGAAAATTGTTTAGCAAAATCCTGTCTATCTGAGATGTTCACTTGGTCGCGGATAACATGACGTGTAGCCTATAATGTATAAATTCAGAATTGTGTAAAATAGGAGTTAATGAACAGATTCGACGAGAGAAGTTTAACAGTTTAAGAATCAGTATATTGTTCAGTTAGTAAGTATGTTACACCCAACATTATCCTCACTAAAGTTTCTAGTATAAACTCGTATATATTAAGTATCAGATATCCCAGATACAGTGCAATACGATACTCTTTCTGTCGTGTAACTGTACTTTAAGCAGTATAAATGTTCAACTGTTTTACTGATAACACATTCCGGTAAAATGCCCTCAATTTGCTTCCCAACAAGTTTACTGGAAAAGTTTTAACATTCCTTCTAAACATTCCTACTAAGTACTAACATTGAGCATCTGGCAACCCTCGCCCCTGGGAAGTGGTGTTTATAATCTTTAGCTGTAGTTTGTGTGGCGGGACACCGCATCAGACATCCTGAGCTACTTGCCAGTGATTTATTCTAATGGGAACCTATGCATGGTTGAGCACAGCATGGCCGACCAAGACAAAGCTACTTGTCTATGTTACTGAAGAAAGTTGGGACAAACTCTAAAGAGGAACTGCGAACCCTAATACGGGACAGGGATATATGGAGGGGGTTATCTGGCGTAGATCGGACTTATTTCCGGCATAGTAGTAGTAGTGGTGTAGGTTTTCAATAATCCGTTAGAACTGGTTTGTTTAACAAGTAACACTGAAACTCACGAATGATGAATAATTAAATTCAATTAAATTAAATCATCATATGTCAAATAGCTCCGTATATATATGTTCTATTTTTCATTATAACTATTTATTTTAATATGAACGACATATTTCCAGGGTTGGGGAGTAGGTGATCTTCCTTTTCCGAAGAAGAAGATATTTGGTAACTTGGACCGAGGATTCGTAGAGGATAGGAAGAAGGCTCTGCAGGTTTGTTCACACTATATCCGTGTATTTCCGTTGTGTTTTGAAACAACCATTTCCTTTTAAAAAAAGTTCTAAGAGAAGAAATAATATCGGAATCATGTGATACGGAGCCTAATTGAACAAATTGACGTAAAACGAGACATTGATTTGATAGATATTGATAAGAACATATTACTTAAAATTAAACCTCATGAAGTGACCGATCACCCTGTTGACCAGAGGACTACTCGTTATAGACATTAGAATATGAGTAACTGTACCGGCCCCCGTCGCTACAGCCATTAATCCCTCGGGAACACAAATGCATTACATTATAACATAATATATATGATATAATGCAATCCATGAACGTGCGACTTATCTCCTTGCTGATAATGAGATAGAAATGGGAATAACAGATTCTGTAATACGATAAGAAAAGTAAACTTTGTTTGTTTGGGCCCGGACGGTGCCGGTGGTTCTAATGACCATTTACTAAAATACATAGATACAAAATACAATATAGTATAAATATTATAATCAGAAGTTTTATAAATCCTATCCGTCCAAGTTAAACTTGAAGGGCGCTACACGCACGACGAAAACTCCCTTTAATGTGAGCTGAAGTAGACTACTAGTAGTAGAGCTAGTAGCGCTTGAAATTGACAGAACTGAAAACGAAATCTGACAATTGTCGCGAAAACTGACAGTTTTGTGTGCTCAAAGTGTCGAGAAATACTGACAGTGCAAGACTGGGCACACAAGAGTGCGTTAAAACATCCTCCACACAACAAAAACTTGAATACACTAATAATAATCAATTATTAAAAACACACAAGCTCATTCTGCAGTCTTATTAGTCTTATCAGTACTCTTTATAGTACCGTTTCTGATAAAGTGTAGCTTATCAGGCTGCTCAGTTACCAGTTTTTTCATGTCCCTGACGAGTTCTCTTTGCTTGGCTCTCTGTTCTGGAGATCGATCTGGGCTGATAAAAACAGTTTTAAACTTTTCCGTTGCTCGCAGGTTTCTCGATTTAGCGAGAATCTGATTAACAATTGTTGCACTTGCCGCAGTCACTTTAACTGGTCTCACAGCCTTGCCTGGTTTGAGCTTTCCGACTCTACTAGCTTCGATTCTGGGTTTCTCTCCGATTGCTGAGAACACTTCACTGACCACGGTGCTGAGCTCCTCATTGTCCTGCTCCGATAAACCAAAAATCATCAGATTTTTGTTTCGGTCTTCCTCCTGTACCACAGTTTTCACAGCTTTCTTGATCATTTCAGAACTGACAGGCTTCTGAGATTCTGGACAATTCGCCTGTAATACCGAGCTGAAGGATTGGAATTCAGCCTTGACAGACTCTCCGACTGACGATTTAACTGACGTCTGCATCGATTCCAACTGTTCATTTATGCAGGCTAGTAGTTCTGACTGCAGCTTAATGATGGTCTCCTGTGTCTTGAACATAAGATGTTTAACTGAGTTTGAGGCCATCTTGTAGTCCGTGGATACGACACCAGTGAACTCCTCCAAATATCTTAATGCATCGTGCAACAAGTCACATGCAGTGTTCTTGTTCATCTTCTTCACGCACGAAGGGGATAGTTGCTTCATTGCTGTGATCTCCATCTCGTACATAGCCTTGCTGAGAAGTTCAACTGAGTCACCCCTTAACATGTTGATCTCCTTTTCACCATACTCGCTGGGCGGGATGGTCATGGTCGTGTAACACGGTGATACACAAACCACTGTAGCTGCACGTTACAATCAACAGAGATAAGCACTAAGATAGGAGAGTAAGAAAAGAGCAACGTATGCAATTAGTGTAATACTGAACTGAGAAAAGAGCAACGTATGCAATTAGTGTAATACTGAACTGAGAAAAGAGCAACGTATGCAATTAGTGTAATACTGAACTGATGCAATTAGTGTAATACTGCACTGATGCAATTAGTGTAATACTGAACTAAAGATAAGCAATAGATAAGTATATGATTATACGCATGTGGGGCGGGATTGACTAGCAGAGTGACACGTGACATGGATGACCGACACAGGATTTGTAGCAGGATTTTGTATCAGTTATCGGAGCATGTCAACTTTAAGTTTTGCCCTGTTTACTTTGTCGTTGTGCCCTTAGTGCGACTATCCTTTTGTTCATAATTAGGATCTTTGATTTAAACATCTTATCCGGTATCTGGATATATATCACAATTTTAACAGGTTAATTCTATTTGTGCCTCCGCATCAAAGTGAGGAAGACACCTAACATTGCACATTACATTCCACATCTACATTACATTCCACATCCAAATTGCATTCCGCATACAGTGTTATAGGTCATATTATTTGATATTTAAAAGATATTGAAGGAATTTCAAACAATTTTGTTAAATCTCCTCGGTTGCAGTGTAATCCGTGCAACCCACTTTTGCATTCGTTAGATGGTACCTACTCAGGGGAAATTTCAACTAATATTAATATATTGGGTATATTTCAGCTCACTTACTCAGGTTGTGGCAGTCCCCAGAGAAGCTAAGTGTACATTCCTACCTGGACTATTTAAATAACTTTTTAAGGGGCAACCAAGTTCCCGACTGAAGCTGTCTGCCGTATACCCTGAACCTTAAGGGGGCCGGGGGGGGGGGTCTTCATCAAAAAGACCCCCCCGGCCCCCTTAAAACTTGACTGTCTGCTCCAGGATCTCGTACATTTTGGCTTATTTGAGTGACTCCTTTTGTAAAGATATCAGCTCCACATGCTCAAGTTAATACAAGACTCAAACTCTTGAATCATGCCATCATGTCAGTTGTATTCTCAATGGCAATATGTCCAAATACGGAAACTATTGTAACTTTCAAATTAAGTGCACCATGCGTTTTGATTTTTGATCTAAAGGAACAGACCATTTTAGTTTTTTAAGAAATATTCGAATAATTATTGATTTGCTACAATTAATAATCATGTTAATATTCAAAGGGTCACTGAAAATAAATTTCTACCAATATAATTTAGGGTTCACAAATACATGCGGTATAAAGCTGATATTGTGGCAATATAATATATTGCCACAATATACAAAACGATTAAAATTGAAATAATGTGAGTTAATACACTTTATACTTATGTTTAGGAATTAGGGTCACATAAAATATAATTATTTTCCATATAATTGAAGGTCACAATTCAAAAATTCATTTTGTATAAATTTGCAATCAGTGGTTCAAATCTTCCATATTAGTGTTCTACCGTTCTGTGATGAAACAGAATGTAACCACTTGAATACAGCTCAGCACAAAGGTAACCGTCACAGCTTGGTGACTGCTCAGGAACGAGGCTACAATAGCGCCGACTGCAGCGCCCATCATGCCGCATCCAGACATCACCCCCGCCCCCAGAACTAACCGCTCCGTCCCAAAGTAGTGCTTATCAAACTCCATGAGCGTCAGTTCACATCGGGTGACACAGAAACACATGTTTGCTATCCCCATAGCAACCACTGTGATAACCAGGCTGTGGTCCAGGAAAATGAGAGTCAGGTAGCAGGATGCTATGATAACAGAGAGCAAAGGCTGCAGGATTCGGAAGCTCACGTACTTCAGAAGGAATACACTGAGAACCCTGCCAATTAGTTTGGCTACTCCGTACAAAAGGGCGAGAATAAGGAGTTGCTGATCCATGGTAAGTTTAGTTTGTTGAGTGTCGACAGCTTCGAGTAATGCGGGTATCAGCAATATACTTCCCCAACCCTGGAGTGTATTTATAAAATTTGTCACACAGCCCTTTATCAAGCGACCCCAGAATCCTTTAACTTCAATGATTTCCTTTTCTACCTCGGGCTGAGGCTCCGTTCTTTCCTCTTCTGGTGCATCTGTTAGAACACAATGCAGGAGAAATATAGTTACTATGAAGATAGGGATTGAAGTACAGACGATGAAGTATCTCCAGCCGATTCTTCCCAACAAAAGGTAAGCTAAAATAGCCACCCAGCCTCCTCCTAAAGTAAACCCAAACAATCCTGATAAAGTGCCCACATTATAAACATCCTGATTTGAAACATTCTCAACGAAGAACAGTCCCGCCATTGCCATGTTCAGTCCGATACAAAGACCAAGCAGAGCTCTAGAAGATAAAAGGGTCCAGAAGTTGGGAACTACGGAGCAAATTACTGTAGCTATGATGGATATGTAGAGGGATGCTAGTAGCGTTACTTTTCTTCCTAACTTATTCTTGAACGCTGGGAGGACGAAGTAAGAGAGAGCTAGACATAGATAGAGGATGATGCCGAGTAGACCCTCTTGGGTTTTAGACACTTTCAACTCGCTGGAAGCAGCCTGGGTGATCACTCCGGGGAGGTAGATCTCCACTGCATCTCCGAATGTTATCAGAGTCATTAGAACAATCAGGTGAATGTCTCTCCGGTTATATTTCAGGTTTTTAAAATCAACCGTTGCTAAGCCAGATTTTTTGGCACCTTTTATTAGAGGTTGCGATTCGTCGGATTCTGTTGTCGTCTCTACGGATTGCTCGGAGCCTTGAGCTATATCTGGTGCCATATCACAATGCTCTTCAAACGTGATTGATAGCTGAAGTTATTAGTTATTATTATTTATATCATAGAAAAATTATGTTCACAATCATGAATTAATACTTTCCTCTACTGATTTACGCATCTCCTTATCTAAATAAATTTTTTATTTTTTCATGCTGATTTGGAGGCCATTAAAGCATTTGACCCAGTCAAAAAAGTTTCAGTTGTATATATTTTACGGTTTTTGCGGAAATTTGCGTTAAAGTTGATGCCTTGGTGTCAGTAAAATGGCACAGATATATATATATATGTATATCGTCTCGCTTTATATATAGTAAGATTGCACTTCTGGAATCTGACAATTCAGCTTCTAATCTATACCTCATATAGTTATAAACTTTCCGTGGCCCTCCAGATGTAGTAAACTATCCTTATAGTACGGTATCAAAACTGAAGTGGCAAGTTGAGCGTGCATAACTTGTACGGAGGT